AAAATTCTGAAGAAGGGTCTAGGCCCAAAATGTCAGCTTTCCTGCTCCTCTGATGCTGCTAGGCCTGCTGTGTTCATCCAGCTCTACACCTGGTTATCTCTATCCCTCTACAGACTATTTATGTCCTCTTCACAATTTGCTTTCCTATTTATATTTGTGTCATCAGTAAAATTAATAACTATACCTTCAGTCTCTTCATCCACGTCATTTACATAAATTAAGAGTTGAGATCCTAGGACTGATCTCCGGTCACTCCTCATATTATATCTTGCCAATCTGAAAATGACCCACTTATATCTAGTAGGAGCAAATTACTGCAGATGCTGGAATCTTAACTGAAAACAAAAAAAAAATGCTGACGATCACTGCAGGTCAGGCAACATCCACGGGGAGAAAGCAAGCTAAGGTTTCATGTCTAGATGACTTTTCATCAGAGCTGGTGAAGTGTGGTGGGAGCAGCATTTATGCAATAGTTTGAGTGGGCATTGGAGTGCTAGGGGAGAAAGGATGTTGATATATCTACTGTGTTTCCAGTTAGCCTGAATTAAAAAGTGGCTAGCTAATGTATTATCCCATATGCCAGGAGCTCTTATTGTGCATAGTAGACTTTGATTTGGCAACTTGTCAAATGTTCTCTGGGAATTCAAGTACAGTATATTCACAGGTTTTCCTCTATCCATGTTTTCTTATGATTTCTTCAAAGAATTCCAATAAATTTATGAAACATGATTTCCCTTTCACAAAATCATGCTAACTTTGTTGATTCCATTGAGATTTTCTAAGTGATCTGTTACAACTTCCTGAGTAAAATATTCCTACATTTTCCTTAAGGCAAGTACTAAACTGGCTAGCCTATAACGTCCTGCTTTCTATCTCCCTCCTTTTTTGAATAGGTGAGAGACACTGCCATTTTCTAATCTGATGAGACCTTTCCAGAATTGAGGGAATTTTGAAAAATTAAAACTAGTGCATTTACTATTGCATCATTTTCTTATTGTAAGATCCTTGAATGATGTCAGCTTGGACCAAGGAATTTATCAGCTTTCAGTTTTAACAATTTTCTCAGTATCCTTTTCCTGGTGATTGGAAATGTTTTACATTCCTCCTTCCCTTTCACCTCCTGATGCACAGTTATTTCCAGGATGTTATTTGTGTCCTCTACAACGAATTGATACAAACCTAGTTTCCATTATTAAATCCCCAAACCTGCCCTCTGGTGCTGTAGTGCTCACTTTAATCATTCCTTCCTTAAATACCTATACAAACTCATGCTATCTGTTTTTATATTTCTAGCTCACTTTCTCTCCCTTACTAAGTTCTCCCTTTTTGCAAAGCTTTTATTTATGTCTTACTGTTATTTATATTCTGACCCATCTTCTCACCTGCCTGACATCTTTACAGAGATGATTCTTCTTTCACTATCTTTAACTTCCTGAGTTAGCCACAAATGACACATTCTTCTCTTAGGTTATTTATTTTTCATTAAAATGCATTTTGAAATATGTTCCTCAACGTCTGCCACTGCATATCTACTGACCTTTAATTTCCCAGTTTACTTTAGCCAACTGTTTTCATGCCCTCTTGATTGCTCTTACATTAGTTTCAAATACTAGTCTTAGATTCACTCTTCTCTCCTTCAAACTGAATGGGAAAGTCAATAATAATACGACTAGCTACCTAGGACCACCTTCACTATGAAATTATTAGAACTGATAAATTCCTTGGTCCAAGCTGACATCATTCAAGGATCTTACAACAAGAAACTGATGCAATTAGTTAATGATTTCATACACTTAATTACCAGATTAAAGTGTAACTTGCTCTCTTGTTGGCTCTAGAACACACTGCTGTAAGCAGCTGTCCCAAAAACAGTCCATTGAATGTATTAATCCATATGGCCTTTCAACCTAACAAATTGGAAATCTAAATGTAAAGTTATCCACTATCGCAGTACCTTTCTCACAATGCTCCATTATTTCATACTATATACCACATCTTAGCATGGTTACATGGGGAAGCCTAAAAAACCACTTCTGCCAGTCATGTAACTATTTATTAACTCAACTCAAATTAACTCAGCAGTGTGAACTGTACCAAAAATTGGCCAAGTGTCACAGAGGATTACTCTCAGTGAACTTCAACAGGTTATCTTGTCCAATTCTGTCACTTACCTCAATAATGTATGCAATGACACCTCAATGTCCCACTGTCACACTCTCCACTGGTGGAAGTATTTACCCACAGCTGGGGCTGCTAAAATTTCAGACACTGGTACCATGATCATGTGGTGAGACTGGTTTATATCCAATGCCAACTTGTGGACAGGGAATTGCAGGTACCTACCCATGGAGCATGCCCCAAGTTCTGGACACTGCTGGCTAATATGGAGGCTCATAGACGCAAGCAGCAAACTGTACCCACTCTTTCCTATCAGGATTTGTTACTATCTCCATTCTCTCCAGAATGGGGCAGTATAGCAAACTGCATATAAATGAGCAAGAATAAGTAATAATGAGATGTAAATAGGCCTTTCACTGCTCACTAATAAGAATAGTGTCTCCCTATTTAGCCCTTGGGTGCAAAAATCAGACACTTATTTTATTCAACATCAAGAATCTCATTTTTCTAAACTTGCCATATTTTCCTAATTGTTTTATCATTGTCCACATCATTCAGGGGCTGGGAAAATTCATCCCAACCTCAATCTACAAAACTAAAGTATTCTTTGTATTACAAAATGTCATTCTTAATTAACATGCCTACAATTCCATCTTTTCCTGTCTTCTTATATGTGATGTACCCTGAACTATTCACGTCTCAATTTTTGCCATCTTCTAGGGATGTCTCGAATTAGCTATCAGATCATGACATATTTGATAGTATTTGAATGTTACATGTTTAGTTCTGACTTATTACTTTTGTAACTTCTCAGAGTGCTTTTTTGAAACAAACAGTCATTTTTATGAACTATGTTAGATCAGGCACTGGTTCACTTCAAATTCCTCAAAGCAAATATTTCAGTTTACATTTTACATCATCCAGAAAATCACCTTTAGAACTAAAGACTGTCTATAAACAAACTTTCAAGTTCCAAACATTGTATTTTGCTAAGACTATTTTGCTTTTCACCTCAAACTAAAGTTGAATTTAAATATATTAGGGTCGATTGTCCAATGAAAACTCAGTCACTGAGGGTACAGCACAAAAGTACATTTACTTCAACAATATTACTCCAAGCAATTTTTAAGCCTCAAGTCTCAACTATGCAAGATTACATATGTACAGCAGCCAAAACGTAGCAAGCATTCATGAGTGTCCAAACACAGTTTGTGCGGCTTTGCTCATTCAATTTTAAGATGGTAATCCATTGCATTGACTTCAATTTTATGATAGTGCCAAATGAACATATTTTGGACCTCTGACCACAGAAATAAACAAATGTCATTTTCATTAAACACTACTTTTATAGTCAGGTTTTGGGCAATCCTAAGACATCTGGAAGGAAACTGGTGTTGGCCTCAGCAAAAAGGAAAAAATGGGCACTACAACTATTTGGTAATGAGCTTGGATTGGAGCCAAGGATCAGATAGATCCTCTGGTCCAGAAAATCCTACTGGGAAATACGCAGATTAAGCAATAGACAAGGCAAAATGTCTCCATCTGAGTTACATCTGAGTTGACTGTTTTCAAAAGGGACTTTCTCAGCAAACTACAAATTGCAGAATATGACATGGTTTAATCAATTATTTATCGAAATAAATAAAGTTTATCCATGTTCTCCTTTCCGAAGCAACAGGCAAATTAATTCAGTTTTAGGATGAAAACACACAAACTGGAGTTGACAGCAGGTTCACTGACTATTAAGACACAGGAAAAAAAAAAAAAATCAGTCATTGCTGCATACAATACTGAATAGAAATAAATTATACTGAATGGTATAATAATCATTTTACTTAATTTCATTCAGTTGCAAATTGTGTAGCATCCTAATTAGTTAAAATTTATCAAGCAATAAATGGGAATTCAAACATTAGAAATTGAACAATAATTTTCCAAACGATTCAATCATCAATTTTGAAGACCCATCTAGTATAGGCTCAAAATGTGCAAGGGAATGTATTTTATTGGCTCTGAGCAATTCCTAACACAATTAATAATTTAAGTCATTTAATAACTCATGACCGTACAGGCACTGATGACAACATGTGACCATGTCTTATTCAAATGTAAAGTAAAAACCTGTGAACCTATATGAAACAGCATTCACTTGACAACTGGCTGGGCTCATCATACATCACGAGTTAAATACAACAAATATACAAATACATCACAAGTGTTAATAGTCAAGCTCAAAATGCTTGCTACTTTTAATTGCAGGTAACCAAAGCCACTCAGTGATATCAATCAAACAGTAGGTCCTCGTCCTTTTCTTCTTCAAGTAGGTTGGCTGGTGCATTGGTAGATTTTAGCCTCTGTCCTTCCTGTTCTTTCTCTATCTTCTCCTTCAACTGCTTTTTCTTTTCCTGAATCTTTTTCAACCTGTAGATGTGAAGAAATTGGAAATTACTTAAACGTATATCAATCATGGTTCAAGACTGTATTGTTCAGTATTGAGAGCAGTCAAAGTGAACCACAATTGAACTTCACTGCATTTATAGAATAATATAGGTGAGCATATGTTTTGTGAAGCATGTGGAGACCTGTATTCAAGGGGCTCTAACTGACAGCAAAATAAATTTTAATGGTGGAAAACAGCTGACAAGAGTTCTCTAAAGACTAAAAAATAGCTTCCATTACTTACCGATAAAATTCTTCCCTTTCTCGCTCATCCAACTCAGTTATGATATAAGATAAAGTGCGCTCAATCCGAGGAATTATCACTTAAGTAAAATGGAAGAGTAGTTAGTACTTACTGAGCAGGTAACTTAATAATAAATAGAATTATAATGACTGCATTATGACCAATCCATTCTAATCCTAAATTTGCATGTTTACCCTGAAGTTCTTTGGACTGCAACTTTTTGTACTTTTCCCCCCATCTGCACAAGTAAAGGTTATACATAAAAGCAATATATTTTCCACTTCCCAAAAATGAAATGAAAGTTGCAATTTTTTATTATCGAATGAAACATTGAACAATATATACAGAATAATATTTGATTCCATTATTCAAGTATTTACTTCAGGTTAAATGCAAATCTATGTTCATGATCTCTTGATGTAGGTGCTTGAATCTTTAAAAGGGTGGTAAATAATCACTCCAGTCTTGTGTAATAGAATCCAAGACAGATGGCGAAATTGAAAATAAGCTTCATATATGTTATGTTTTGTGGAGACAGCTAATTGAGTTCCTCAGTCTTGCTTCTCTCAACCCATATCTAGTGTCATAGCTGCTCCCTATTTATTTGTATATTCTCTCATCAGCCTGATCAGAGGTGTTATTACATACTCTGGAGCAGGTGGGACTTGAACCCAGGCCGGCTGGCTCAGGGACACTACCACTGTACTAAAAGAGCCCTTCCCTATTTATATGTGCTCAGATTATTTATAGTCACTAGCTAGTTATTTTAAAAAATAAACTTTAACAACATGACTAAACAGACATTAACATCTCCCTTCTGAGCATCTGTAACTTCCACACATTCTGTGTTACACTAAGACTAGATTTCTACATATTTTATTATGTTAAAGGTACCATATAAACAAATTGGTGTACGTGTAATTGCATACTTAAATGTACACAAAGCTATTTGAAAATCTTGTATTTACTTACCCAACCTAATTCTAAGGCTCCGATTTCATTACACAATTTAGCATAGGTAATACTATCTACCCTTCTACTTTGCATCAATAAAGGTACATAGGAGAAGATCCATCCCTAATTCATGACTTGATTCTATCAGGAGCAGCCACATTCTAAACCACACTTTGCCCACGGTCCTAGGAAAATCTGTTTCTGTATTGATACCGTGGGCCTCAAGCGTAACACGTGATTTTGGTCAAATTAGTTTTTCTAGTTGGTAAATTGGTAATTAACAGTCACCAGTTAAAAGATTCTCAAAGTGGAGAACAAGATCAGAAAAAAAAAATTCACAAGAAGAGAATTGCAGAAGCATGCAATGATTTGCCAGAAGCAGTCCAAGAGGAGAAGACTGCACCTTCTACGGGAAAATCGGATAAACATTTGAAGCCGAAGAAACAACAGGAACATGGAAAAGTAGAAGGTTATTGGTATTAGTTTTAACTTCAGGAAAGGGTACAAATTTGCCATGGAAATACTTTTAATGATTCACTAATGAATATACAAAATAACTCTTTGAATGGAAGTAGAAATTGAGTATGATAATTGGGTGTGGAAAGCTGGGTTGGTTTCAACAATTTTATGGGTACCCAGTGTATATACACCCTGAACACTTGCCTTCTAATAGAGTCACTAGCCCTTCAGCTCACCATGTCTATGCTGACCAGACACCAAACAATATTAATCCCATTTAACTGCACTTGGTCCATTGCCTACTAAGCCCTGGATTAAATGCTTGCCCAGATGCTTCTTAGGTGTTGCAAGAGTACCTGCCTCCATCACCCTCTCGGGCATGTTCCATATTTCTACTACCCTCAGGAGGGTCAGAGTTAAGCCTGACACCGTTCACAGAAGTGAAGATTCCAGCACCGCTCACTAGAAGTTTGAGAGCTCAAGAGTATTACTTTGTAAGCAGCCATGAAAGTTTGGAGGGTAAAAATTACATAATCAGTGAAAACTGTAGCTGTTGGATTTCAAGATAGACAAACAAGATGTCACACCCTGGTGAGCAGATATTGCATCAATGGAGGGAGTGCAGCATAGATTTACTAGAATGATACCAGGACTCTGTATAATCTTTCTGTGTAATTTAATCCTCAAAAAGTGTTATATACTTTGGAATTTAACAGGTCAAGCAGTGATTTGATTGAAGTTATAGATACTAAGGGGAACTGAGAAATAGCTTCTGCTCTACGGGGAGTCTAAGATGATGTAGTACAGTCTAATAATTAAAGCCAGGCCCTCTAAGAAACAAGATCAAAACACTTTTACTTACAAAAAGGTAGAAGGGTTTTAGAGCTCCCTTATTTTAAATTTGATTTCAATTTGAATAACCAATTTTGATTTTGTTGAAGATGAGAAAAGGTGGGAATATGAAGTTAAGTCTCAGATCAGCCAGGGTCTCAGTATATACTGGCAGAACTGCTTGAGGCTCTAAATGGCCTCCTCCTTTTCTGATGTTCCACTAGACTTAAAATTCAAAACAGTAGTAAAAGTACTTAACTTACCATGTTCAATTGCATTTACACGTCTATTGGTAATTTTAATAGCTTCATCCAGTGTCACAAAGGAAGTCTGAAATTATCACAAGGTTTCATGCAATAGTTATTGAAAAGTTCAAGATTTTTCCATTGACTGGTCTTAAAAATCTCTTTATATCAGGGTCATAACAGCCATGTTTTTCATTGCAGATTCTGGCATTTTTCTGAAGCTTTCCAAAATCATTAATGATGTACGTTTCTGATTATTTAATAATTCACATTATTGTTAAATAGCCTAAAACTTATTTTCTGCTACAGAATCAGAGCACATTCATCTTTCTCTCTTACCTGCAGTGATGCCAATTCAACCAGAAGCTCCACTGCTTTTGCATAATTTCTCTTGAGTTTAGCCAGCTGTTCTCCACCTCTAGCCAGGCCAGTCAACTCATAACCTAATAAACAGCAAATTAAAACAAAAATCTCAGAGGATCACATCAGATTAATTACTTGAAGCACTGTAACCAGCTTTTTAAATTCATGGTAAATTAGTGCATCTCTTGTAATATTCACATTGAGTCAGAGTATTGTATTTTATAACATCTAAAGCTTGTATTGCGTTGAATAAAACAGTTTCCTCAACATTGATCAGGAAGGTAAGATTATGATTTTCTTTATAATCTCTTCTTTCGCAATAACTGTTTTTCCCCTGCCCATTTACTGTGGTTCTGTAACTTGCTTTCAACTTTTTCTAACAGTTATTCCTTCCACAAGTCTGTCCCTCCATTCGTTTGCTTTTTCCTGCAAGTTTTCCAATTATATTAGCTTCTGTAAATATTTTCCCTATTGGTTTTCACGTCTAAGCTTTGCTAAGTTCCCACAGAATAGAAAATAAATGAAGTCAATATGTGACAGATCAAAGATAGAGCAGATTTTCCAGAAAGTAGCACAATGTAACTAAGAGAAAGAAATTATTAGTTAATGAGGGAGGGAATAAAGAAATAGTGACAAGTGATAGGGTGGAGTAGCAGTGATCAGAGCTGTAACAATAATATTCTCAATGTGTCAAGGCACAAAGAGAACTTGAAGGTATCAACTCTTCACTGGTACTTCAGGGAACAGTGTCATGGATTAGCAAGTATGGTCATGACCAAGTAAGTTAAGAGAAATTGCCTCCCTATTTTTAACCCACGTCTCTGTTGGTCAGAACAATTTTTTTTTAAAAAAGCATGCAGTGAAAGACAGATTCTAACTATATGGATTTGATGCAAAAGCTCTTTGCTACATTTGATGGAAATCATGTTTTAAAATAGAAACAGAGGGATTTTGATAATTCAGAAGATTTTTTTGAATTTTCAAAACAAGGTCAGAAAGTAAATTCTGGAACAGAGATCTGAATACATAATTGCTAAGAAGACACAGGTCTTCAACTGTCTGCCTAGCAGACCCCTATGGTGTTAATGGATAAAATACTTATACTGTGATGTTTGTGACAGACAGAGTCTAACTAAGGCAATTAATTTAACAAGCTGCAAAATTAAACAGCTTATGTTAAAGATATATAACTCCAAGAAAGTGGATATCCAAAAGTATCATAGCATAGTGGAAGGGTTCCTGAGCGGTGGAGTGATAGAATTGGGTAGGTTTAATCTGTTGAAATGAACCTTACATCTGTTGGTGAAGTTCCAAATTGCAACGTGTAATAGTGGTGTCAAGGATAGCTCCTTGAAGGACACAGAGGTTAAGGATGTAGAAGAGGTATTTACTCAAGATGCCACAGTTATAATTAGGAAAAAAAGTGATACCAAGCAAGGACATCCCAAAGCTGGGTTACAATGGTGCAATGGAAGATGCTGGTGTTGGCAGCTGCCAAAGGCATAAGAGAGATTATGGAGGTAAACTGGTCACTGTCAGTAGATGCCACCTGTGATTTTGCTTAAGAACATTTCAGTTCTGTGATGGGATGAAAAAGAATTATTCCAGAGATGTTTACAGGGAGTTGCAGAAAGTTGGCTGAGAGTAAGGGCCAATAACATATTTAGGGGCATTGTAAATTACCATCCATTTCCAAGAACCAAACTTTCAAGTTCTCTTCATTGAAGACTGTGTTCATGACAGGTTCTGAATATGAGGCGGATAGTGGTTAAAAGTTTAAAAACTGCTATACAGTTACAGCACAGAGGAGTTAATTCAGTTTGTCATATCTGCATTGGTCTTTGCCAGAGTAATCCAAAACTAATTTCACTGCCCTGTTTTCTCATGGACTGTATGTTCTTTGTTCCAAATAGTTTTTTGCTCTTTCATTAAAAGAAGCTGTACCATTTGTTATCGCACAGGGGCAGCATAACATACCAAATCAGCCTCGCTGTCACTGGATTTGCAAAACAGTGAGCTTGAAATATTCGATGACTCTCAAAATTGCTTAACGGTTCCTAACCAAAAACTTTACAAGTAACAAATCTTGGAAACCACGTTTATAACTTAAACAAAAATTAACAATTTATTAAGAATGGAACTTTGGCAGAACACAGATGAACAAGGCAATGTAAATAATATCTGCAAACAAACCAGTCTTCATGAATATAAACCCTCACTCTCAAACTGACCAATAGACAGAGTTAAGGGATACATTTAAAATAAAAATAAAAGAATTCCTGGGTATATGAATAGGAAGGTTTTAGAGAAATATGGGCCAAATGCTGGCAAATGGGACAAGGTCAGCTTAGGATGCCTGGTTAGCGTGGACAAGCCACCGTTGGCGAGCACCAAGAAAGGTCCATTTCTATGCTATATGACTCCATATGATCCATCTATCTTTTATTCTGGGATTAGACTTGTCCAGCAGAACCATCAGCTGGAATCATAACAGTATCACCCTCTTGGCAGTGTGCGTGTCTGCTTTTACTCACTGTCTCCTCCTTCCTGGTAATGCTCAAATACTGGCAGCACAACACCTGATGACAGAGATCAAAATCAAAATTAAGATCAAAACACACTAATTGCATCAACAGCAAATATATTTCACACTTCAAAAATTACAAAAGCCTACATTTTTAAAATCATAATGTTCCCTTTTATTTCTTCTCGTTCCCCCCTCAAACCATGCATGTCATGCAACGTTAACAGGCTGGCCACCTACTCATAGGATCTGAATAATGCAAATGTTTGATGTAGCGACTAGGAAACATGACAGAATGACTCATGTTGCATTACTTCCCTTCTGTTTTCTTGGCAGAGTAGGATCCACCATCTGATGGCAGAGTCACTGAGTGGAGAGGGTGACCACTGGGTTTGTGCTGATAACCTGTCTGGCAAATATGCTGCTTTTGCTGCAAAAGCAAGCAGATCCTAGCACAAGACTCAATCAAACTTGAAGAAGAGTATTTGAGATAAATAATGGAGCAGTGAGGTATTGCATCAAGACTGTAGGGAAATGGGACATTTAACGCAAAACGGTCCATACCAGACTTCGTATTCCACACGAACATCCTCCCATCCTACTGAAAATAATATAAGTGTATTAAGTCCCCCATGTGATACTGTATTTCAGATAGTTACCATGCTTTTTGTAGAAGAGGTTTTTCTTAAATTCTCTATTATGGCTATCTTGTATTTATAACTCCAAGTTATGGTCACGCCAACAAGTAGAAAAGTTCTCTCTACATTTAGATGCTCATTGTCTAAATGTTGTCCGTCAGCCTTCCCTGAAGAGCTCTAGCTTGTTCAGGCTTTCCTGATTGTTAGAACATCTACATTCTGAAGTCTCTCTTTTTTTTGGCACCTTGTCCAATATCTCAGGATCCTCCTCAGAATACATTAACTACAGCTGAAAATTGCTCTCAACTGTCAGTAGGAATCTGCCACCTTTAATAATTTCTACTTATTCCAAATTTTAGTTGACAGAAGGTAGAATGCAAACATATGGTCTCAAAGTAATTCTATAGATTTTGTTTACCTGACACCAGACGTAAGCATATACCACAACAGAAGATGGAATTTTGTTAGTACTCTCATTCAATTTGCATAATTTCTAATTTATTTTTGGAAATCTAAGTGTGAGGGCGAGTTTATCAAACTGGACTTCTTTGCAAATCCTGGTCCAAATGTCATACTCATCCACGTTACAAAATTAAACAACTCACAAAAGAAACACGATACCAAAAACCCCATAAAAACGTACCTGCTACATTGTCTTTTTTAGCTCGGACCTTAACCTGTGCCTTGTTCACATTTTGGATCACAGTAGTACTGCATAAAACAGAACCAGTATATTAGCGACAACATTAGTCTGTGTGTACTTCATAAGTATGAAGGTGTTTCATAACTAATATTGAGGATTCATGTTTGAAGGATAGCAGACATGTGTTCATTTGAAAAGCCTGTCAATATATTTGAACTTTTTTTTTTAACATACATACAATATACACAGACATTTTATATATAAATCAAATGGATCACCGAACGGCATCAGGGTGTTTTTAAGATACTTCTTGGAAGTCACATGCCTTAAACTAACTGATATCACATGCATGGGCTTATGGCCATCAGAAGTTAGTTTGTTTTTGATACTGTTTGGTGTTCAGTTCACTGACAGATGCTACCAAACCAGAGAGAGTCCACTGTTATAAGAGACCAACCTCTTTACATTGCCTGAATTAACTGCATCTGCAAAGGTCCCAGTGAGATCTACCTGCATTTAGTGACTCTTGCCTGTGTGCATCAAACCACTGACTAAAAGCCATTTGAGCATTTCATACCTGATCCTTCCTTTTCCTTTAAGAACCAACCATTAATTTTGTAAAGAAAACCACTTTGGTCAAATAATCTCTGCTGAGAAAATAATTTTCTTTTAATTGATGTGCATGCATAGGGGTTATTTAGAAGAGTAAATATTTATGCTTTCATTCTGTGTTTTAATCCAATTTGCAGCTTGTTAAAAAGTCTCATTTCAAAATAAATCAATAATGTTGTTATTAGAGGAACCTGGTTGATGGATCTTTTTACTTTAAATTTAATATAGATCAAGTATATAATTAACCATTTTCAGTAGCTGGATAAAGATTTTAAATTTATGCTGTGATCAATGGATGTTGGGCTGAGACAGCAACTGTGCACTCTGCAAATATTGGTCATAGAATCCTAGAATGCTTCCAGTGCAGAAAGAGACCATTTAGCCTATCAAATCCACACCAACCCTGTGAAGAGCATCCCACTCAGAATTAGTTCCCTACCCTCTTTTCATAACCCCGCATTTACTGTCGCTAATCTATCTGGCCAGCACTTCTTTGGCCTGTGGGAGTATCAGACAGAAGCCACACATACACAGAAACAATGTGCAAATTCCACGCAGACAGTCACCCAAGGCTGGAATCAAACCTGGGTTCTTGGTGTTGCGAGGCAGCAGTGCAAACCACTGAGCCCCAAATACTCTAATCTATTTAACTTGAAGTTAACGGATTTAAATTATCTGAATTTACATTATAGGCAACAAATTCCTAAAATTATTTGATCAAAAATTATGTTAATGGTAATGGACCAATGCTGAAAATTATGGCTTAATTATGCACATTTAATGATCAACCTTTACAGTCAAGAATATTTCAAATTCAGCAGGTGCATGTAAAGTACAAAATAGACTCTGCAATTATAAGCAATTGAAAGAATCCAACATATATTAACAGTCCCATTTAACGTATAACAATTTTTCATACCTCAAGAGCTCCCATGGAGCAAGTGAAGGCCAGCCAAGTCACCAAATCAATAGTCTCCAATAACAAAGACCAGTTTCCCAAAGCCTCACTTACAGCCAAGAAGGTGGTCACTCTACAAAGAAATCTTTGGTAACTGCAGTCTCACCTGAAGTCTCCAGCAGTGAATTTGGCTTCAGCTAAGGAAAAGGCTGCTTCCCTCATTACTTCACCCATCAGCGTTTTAGTCTGAGATGTGAAAACCAAAAGTAATGCAAAATGTATCAGTTAGCAGTGCCACATTATACTGAAACACAGGGTTTGACAGTCTTGATTTCATTTTGCTACAAGGTTTTTTGTTTAATTGAAAGTAAAATGCCCGGTTCATTTATGGATATATAATAGAAATTGTTATTTCCAAAAATCTGTGAGGATGCCCTCATTTTCTGCCATTTGCCTTAGTTTAATTAACTAAGGCGATGTCCCACAGGGAACACAGGGTCTAATCAGTTAGCCTGATATTGGTAATACGGAAAACACTGGAAATCATTATAAGAGATTTAATCGCGTAGAACTTTGAAAACTGTGACAGGATTGGAAAAAGTTCACTATGGATTTATGAAAGGGAAATCATGCTTGACAAATCTATTGGAATTTTACTGAATGCAGTTAACTTGGACTTTCACAGGTTTTCCAATAAGACATTAGCGTGTAAAGTTAAATTGTTTGGGACTGGTGTAATGTACAGACACGGATAGAAAACTGGTTGTCAGATAGGAGAAAGGAAACATAGTTGGAATTAACAGAACTTTTTCCAAATAGCAGTCAGTGACTAGTAGGGTACTACAAAGGATCAGTGCCTGGGCCCCTGATGCTCACAATATATATCCATGATTTAAATGAGGGAACTACATGTAATAATACATGTCATTAACTGGGAAAGAGGGAGATTCAACAAGATCTGGATCCAGTTGCTGAAAGTAGGCATCTAGGTGCAGCAGGTGGTGAGGAAGGCAAATGGTATGTTGACCTTCATAGCAAGGGGACTTGAGTACAGGAGCAGGCACGTCTTGCTGCAATGCCACAGTGTCTTGGTGAGACCACATCTGGAGTACTGTGTGCAGTTTTAGTCTCCTTATCTGGCTACGAAGGAAGTACAAGGCAGGTTTAGCAGATTTATTCTTGGCATGACAGGACTGACATACAATGAGGCACTAGATTGGTTAGGACTGTATTCACTGGAGTTGAGAAGAATAAGTGGAATTTCATAGAAACCTATTTGAGCAGGACGTGACAGGGTAAACACAAGAAGGGAATCCAGAAGCAGAGGTCAAAGGATGTAGCCATTTAGAAGTGAGATAAGGAGAAATTTCTTTACGCAGAGGGTGGTGAACCTGTGGAATTCTCCATCACACAAAGCAATTGAGGCTAAAACGTTGTATATTTTTAAGAAGGATAGTTAGATCTAGTTTGTGATGGCTAAAAGGATAAAAGGGTATGGAGAGAAAGCACAAGCAAGCAGAGATGTATGATCAGCTTGATCATATTGAATGGAGAAGCATGCTCGAAGGGTAGAATGGTCTTCCCCTGCTCCTATTTTCTATGTTTCAAGATGATCTGCCCCGACAATCCTCTGCCAATATATCTGTGTTGGCCACTAAGAAGTGTGCGACTCATTATATCACCATAATGCACACACTCAACAGAAACTCTAATCAGGAAAGCGGTGGTGTAAATGCCACACATCCATTAAACAGAGCCCCAGGCTAATGCTCTGGGACATGGATTTGAGTATCACCATAATAGATAATGAAATTTGAATTGTTCTTTTTAAACAAAATCTAGAATTTAATGCTAGCTTAATGGGAACTGTGTCAAAATAGACAATGTTTGTAAAAACGCATATTCACTAACGGCCTTTAAGAAGGAAATCTGCCATCCTTACCAGGACTGGCCTACACCGTCTCTTTGCCACATAACTTTTTGATTAACTCTTAACTGAAGATGACCTAGATGGCCACTCGGATCAAGGGTTCAAAGGCAATTAACGATATACAACAAATGTCAGCCTTGGCAACAATGCTCACACCCTGTACAACAGCAAAATACATTGAGGTGGGGGTCAAGACTGTAATCATCTATCACATTTCTCGTGACATCCTGCTTCACTAAACAAGATGATTCTGTTTCCCTGGTTGACAGCACAAAACAAAGCCAAGATATAGTGCACATAAATAAAGTGTGGTTAAATGAACAAAAGTAGGAATCTAAATAGAACTGACAATGAATGAGCAGGACTGCAGTGTTAAAAACTGCATTAACATTGCTAAATGTGTTTTGTGAACTAGGAGAAAAACAAATAGTAAGGTTTAGTCACCTCTATAATCTTTTTCAGGATTTGTCTGAAGCGCAGTGTAAGGGCATCAGACTTTTTCTTCAGTAGGTTGCGACCAGTCTGAGCACCTTTCAAACGGGCCTTCATTATAGTTTGTGCCCTGTAGCAAATGCAAAAAAAAGTTAGGTTTACTTCTTCTGCCCACTGCCTTATTTAATTAGATTTAACGTAAAATGGATTTATTTTTCAGTACAAAGGTAGCATAACAGATTTTCATTTTCTATGGCATCTTCGCAAATGCTCATTTCTTTGCATGAGCAGGAACGCTTCCAATGACAGAAAGATGTGACATTTTTGCTCCCAGTTTTCAATTTGATGTGTTAAGTAAAGGTCATTCACATTTCTCTTTATAAACGTGGGAAGGGCCTATTTGCTTCAGTGCACATATGAAGCATTTATGCTTATAAAAAGAGGAACAATGAATGGCTTTAGCTTGCTAGATAAATAGATGGAGGGCTCTAGTAGCATAGTGTAATGTCCCTACCTCCAAGTTAGAAAACCCAGGTTCATGTCTCACCTGCCTCAAAAAGGTGTTTTATAACAATGACTGAGCAGATAGACTTAAATTTTATTTTAAGAATGGATGGATAATTCCAAGTCTGAACCAAACCTGGACAATAGTTCAATCACAATTAAGGGAAAATATTTAACTTGGGCCAGTTCACAACACAAACACACTTGACATCAATCATTCACCTGGATATCTTACAAATGCGAAACGAGCACAAGAATATTAAATACGACAGATCAACAACATGTAGAACAAAAGGTTTTATTCTCTCCAAATTAAATATTTCAGGTCAAAAAACTTTTTCATTTTCAAAATCCGTGTTACAACAGCACCATTATTAAATTGAATCACTGAGGAAGATTTTTTTTAAAACTGTTTGAATGAGAAAAATGAAACTTTCTCAACTTGCAACAAATATAACAGAGTTGTCCAGACTTAGTGAAAATTTGGCTATGGAAATTTGTTCAGCTACCTGATTCTATCACGTACTAAACTCCTCCAAACCAGTTCCTGGTGTCATTGTACACACAACTGTTTATACAAAATATTTATTCCAAAATGGTTTCTTTCTATTAAATAAAGGTCATTGAGGACATCAAGTAAAAAGGAGCTAGATTTTAAATATGGACCCTTTCACATTCACATGACAGTACCAAAGCAGCTTGGAATTATTGTTGAAGCTCTTTAACATGCCATGAACAGGTGCAGAAAATAGTCAAGAAGACTGACAGAATGCTGGCCTTCATATCTAAAGGGCTGGAGTATAAGGGTGCAATTGTTATGCTACAGTCATACAAAACCTTAGACCCCATTTAGAGATCCGAGAGCCGATTTGGGCACCACACCCTAGGAACATTGTCTTGGTGCTGGAGGTCGTTCAACACAGATTTATATGGATGATACCTGGACTTCAGGGGTTCAGTTATGAGAAGGGGTTGGACAAATTAGGCCTTTATTCCCTAGAACCCAGAAAGTTCAGGGGTGATCAATATGAGGTTTTTGGAGCATTAACAGGGAAAGACAGGATAACCCTATTTCCAACAGTTGAACATTCTCAAATCAGGGTGCATAGTCTAAGAAATAGGACTAGGCCATTCAAGAGAGATGCTAGAAAACACTTCTGCACACAGTAGAAGGGTTTGGAACTCTCTTCCTCACATGGTGGTCGATGCTAATTCAACTGTCAATTTAAATCGGACATTGACAAACTTTTATTAAGCAAGGCTGTCAAGGGATATGGACCCAACGCAGACATATGGAGTTAGGCCATGATCTTATTGAATGGTGGAGCAGAGTTGGCAGGTTGAATGGCCTACTGCTGTTCCTCTTGGAGTATTGTGTTCAATTCTGGGCACCTTATTTAAGAAAGGATGTTAAAGCCCTGGAGACAGCGCAAAGCAGATTTACTAGAATGATATCAGGAATTAGAGTGTCTAGATACAAGGAAAGATTAGATAAATTGGGCTTATTCTCCTTGAACAGAGAAGATTAAGAGATGACTTTATTGAGGCGTTCAAAATTTCTGCTAATTAGTATGTCAGTGGCTCAGACACACAATTTCAAGATTGTCAGCAAGAGAGCTAGGAGTGAGATGAGGAGAAACTTCTTCATTCAGTTGTTAGGATTTGGAATGCTCTCTCTGGGAGAGTGGTGGAGACAGATTTCATAGGTTTCAAAAGACAGATGGATACGTATTTGGAAGACAGGAATTTTTAGGGCTTTGGAGAGACGGCTGGTGAATTGGACTAGCTGGGTAGCTCTTGCAGGAGCTGGTACAGACACTATGGAATCAATAATTCTATAATTTACTTTTGGATAGGAAATTAAAAAAAGACTACCTCATCTGCTTTTAGTGATCATTAGAGAACACTAGCCAGAACTACCCCAGTCGCGCATTTCTGAACTTCCAACCTGAACTCGCAGACAAGCCCTGAACTGTTATTCCATTCAAGAAACAGTACTTCCAACAATGCAGTACCCCTTTATTATTCTGCTGAAATACTAGATCAGTTACATTTCAGATCCCGCAGTAGGGTTTGAATTCACCTCCTCTGTGGGTGTGCTACCACTGGATGTGGATGGCCACTTATCAGTATAGATAATTACTATTAGCTATACTTTTACGACAATGCGTTTGAGAAATTATTCTCCATGCCTGGCAGTTAAATAATTTTGGTAAAAGGGGGTTGTGAAGATGGTCCATGTAACAATGCCAACTTTTCCAAATCAGACAGAATGTAAAAGTTGGAAACAATGTGCTGTGGGTGAATTCCAAATTCTGGCAACATTAATTATCAATAAAGTATTCTACACCTGCAGAAGGGCTCATATTTATTTCTACCATATTTGTGTTATTACCATTTCATAATGTCACAAGTCTTGGTGTATTATATAGTATGTCTAATAAAAATTGTTTAGAGGATGCCCATCCCTTATTGTCTACCTTTTTCAAAAATCAATCATCTTGAACATTGTAGCCATTGAGGCTGATAGGCATTCCAAAAATCTTCACAATGCAGCAATACAAATAAATGTTTAGTTTGTCTTTCCATGTTATTGTATTCAACACTCTCCTAAAAATTCAGCAGTATGTAGTGATTCATGCATTTTTTGTAAGAGATTTCTAATTACAATGCCAATTTTGATAGTCTCGGTAATAATGGATTGCGTAATTTTGGAATTTGTCATGCAAACTGGGCACCGTTGCATTAATCATCTGTCTGTATTATAACCTCCGACTGACACTCTCAATTTTTATTTAGTTTCGACGGTGAAAGTTCCTTTATTTAGAAATAGCTAGATGATTCAGGAAGAAATGGGCCAGCTCCTTTAAACGCAGTTTCATCACAACAGCCCTTCTCCTGACCCAAAATTTAAAATGCTAAACTTTAAAATTTCCAGGTCGGAGCACTAAAGTAGAACCCAAACCTGCGACGGCTGGAAACCGTAATCAAAAATCTGATACTCACATCCGAGATGGGAAGATCTCAATCCTCTCTTTGCCTGACATGTTTAGCTAGTTCTTGAGGGGGGAGATCCAACAGCTGGTGGAAAAGATGAAAATCCTTGCAATCGACACGGAATGCCCCGTGACCTTCAGCAGGTTGCAAGGCAGTACCTAAGCCCTAGTGGGGCTACTTCCTCCTGTAATTTTCTACTAACTTTCCTCTCTCGATTCGAGCAAATTGTTGGTTTCCACGGATCAGCAGCTGGCAAAATCACGTGACAGGGCGGAGGTGACCTGTGACCTCCCTCACCACGGGGTTAACCGTGGTCCAAATATTCTAGATGCGGATTTTAATTTTTTTTATGAAGTATCTCCTAGTGTTGTTGTTTGCTTCGCCAATTCCATATCTCGCTGTTATTTATTATCCACAATCCTTTACCAAGATGGCGGCGGCACGTCTTTACACCCGACTTCCCCTATATTTCCAGTCAATACTGGAGAGCGAAAATCTAACAAAGCTATCGTGCAAAAAGACAATGCGGGTGGGTCGGGTCTAATGAATGAATGCTACAAATCAAGGCCTCTCCGCTATTTTAATCGCGACTTCCAGGGTTACTTGGAGTGACGTTTTACTCCGCCCTCCTCTCGACTTCAGTTCGAAGCTCCGCGCTTGCGCAGAAGCGGGGTTTCTGGCGAAGGGACGTACTTGAGCTGCGCACGATACATTCTGTGGTGCAGAGATAGAACTGTAGATGCTGGAGAAACGTCAGCCTTCCTGCTCGGCCTGCTGTGTTCATCCAGCTCTACACCTTGTTATCTCAGATTCTACGGTGCAACATGAGGATAAACGTTGCCGCGCTTGCGTGGGTGTTGTTACGCGGCGCAATGTGGTAGACACTGCGCCTGTGCAGAATAAGGAGTGCGCCGTAACAGCAACGGAAAACGGCGTCGCGCCTGCGTAGCAGGGTAATTGTGGGGCAACGGAAATAGCGCGAAGTGGAGAGTGGGCCTGAGGTGCCGACCGTGCTCGTACGCAGCAGCATTGCCCACAGATTCCGCTCAAGTAAGTGAGACCCAGTGCTGTCCTTTCATATCGGGAGCCGCTGTCCCCCACACCACTGATTCGTTGGAGAAGGCGGGTCGAGATTCCGGCCTAATGCCAGCATATTTTATCCGGTCACGCCGGGTTCTCGACTCGGGCTTCACCCGCAGACCCACCCGGGCCTGAATGACCCGCCGTTTAAATGGTTTCACTGTGTGTCTCTCTCTCTCTCTCTCGTCAGAAATCTGACAGAGACCCCCCCACCCCAGTCCTCCATTGCGCGTTTCTAGATTGCCTGCGATGCCTGTCTTTCTTTCACTCTGAGATAGTAGGAACTGCAGATGCTGGAGAATCCGAGATAACAAGGTGCAGGGCTGGATGAACACAGCAGGCCAAGCAGCATCATAGGAGCAGAGAGGCTGACGTTCCGGGCCTAGACCCTTCATCAGAAAAGTGGGAGGGGAAGGGGGTTCTGAAATAAATAGGGAGAGAGTGGGAGGCGGATAGAAGAGGGATGGTGGAGAGGAAACAAACAGGTCGAAGAGGCGGGGACTTTCACTCTTGCCATTTTCCACTCCACCTTACAGCTACGACCTGGAATGTGGCAGTTTCTAAGGTGGTAATGTCCCCACTTCTGACCCAGGAGATCCAGGTTCAAGTCCTATCTGTTCCAGAGGTATTCCATGAACAGGTTGATTAGAAAATATTTACAGGCACGTGTGTTTAAACTGAGGATTCTTGAAGTTCACAGATGGAAGGTAGTTTGATTGCATCATTTTTAAAGTGAAATCCCAGGGGATGAAAGGCCTCAATATTCACTTCGTGGTCAAGGAATTTCTTTTCTACCTTTGCTCGTTTAGGAATTGAACTAGGTTTGGCTTGAATTTCATAGTTTTGTCAGACCAGGAATTTGGAATTAAGGTTTTAAGGACATTTTCATATTTTGTCACGAGTAGGATGAAGAATACAAATGAGGTATGATTGCATTATTGCTGACTGTTTTTCAGTTTTCTAATTTCTTTGTGGATAGATTTTTATTAGTCTTGTCCAAATCTGAACCCTTTTTCTGAAGCTATTAAATGAAATAAAGTACAGATTGTCATATTGAAAATAGCAATGAAATGAAAATTGTAACAGGTGTGTCACAAAAATGGTCAGATTAGTTGTCAGTTTGAACTGATATATGCAATTAGTGTTGGCTGGAGGCTCCTGTTGATTTTCGATTGAAGTTTATTGAGACATTGAAGCCTGCATCAACATATGTTCTTTGGTTTTGATCCATGGCTCCATTGTAATTTCTTGTGTTTGGTATTGGAATAATTACACGTGCAAGCCTCCAATGGCAGAATGGAAAATTCCTACAAAGCAACAATGTCAAACTTTATTAGTACTTATAGATATCTTCTAATCAACCTATTCAGAGATGTCATTCCACACATTGAGCCTAGGCCCACACCTTGACTTAGAGGTAGGTACCTCTAAGAGTCCCATTGTGGTGCTTTATTTTAATCAACCCGTTCAGATACATTATGACATGCATCTGAAGGATTGAAGCTGGGCCTCCTGGCTCTGAAGTAGGGACTCTGCCCTGCACCAGGGTTTCCCATCTTGTTTCTTTATATCCTGGGGAATTAATGGAAATAAATTCATATGCACAGTTCTATCAACAAGTTGTCCCTTGGCTTTTTCTGTGTTGGGAATGGCAGTCTGCACCCTTGTTTAATCAAGGTGAGACTCGACCTCATGGGACTAAAATTATAACTGTGGGCCCAGTGGAAGTCTAGCTTCTAGTGGCATCTTTTATATCTGAAATTTTGCTGTCAGAATACTCTGCCTTATTGCTTCCATGGAAGCACCAGGGCTTGATCTGTTGTATTACAAGCATAGTTTTGTTTTTGCATCTCGCACTGGCCTTCTGGGCCGGAAAACTTGAATTATGAGGAAAGGTCGGATAGGCTTGGGTTTTCCTTGGAGCAGAGAAGACTAAAGGGCGATCTCATTGAGATGTACAGGATTATGAAGGGCATGGATATAGTGGATAAGGAACCACTGTTCCCCTTAGTTGGAGGGTCAGTTGTGAGGGCAGAAGGTTTCAGAGGGATGTGTGGAAAAACTCTTTCATCTGTAGACTGGTGATGGTCTGGAATGTGCTGCTTCGGAAGGTGGTAGAGACAAATTGCCTCGTGCTGTAACAAGTACATGGTTGAGCACTTGGCATGTCATAACGTTCAAGTCAGTGGGCTAACTGCCAGTGTTGGTGCAGACTCGATGGGTTGAACAGTCTCTTCTGCACTGTTTGATTCTGTGACTGCATGATTTGGTGTTCACCTTTTTTATGAGAATTTAGGCTTGAGGGTTCGGAAACATTTCCACTGAGCAAGAGAAGACTAAGAAGAGAGAGTTTAAAATTATGAAGGGTTTCGAGGCAATTTGGCGAACAGCTGTTTTAAAATCTGGGTCAGTTGTAGGAGGGCATCAATTGAAATGAGTTAGGCAAGTTAGGATAAACTTGGAGGAACTTGCCCTGCTCTGACACAGAGCAGTGAAAGCAGAAGCCATTGCATCTTTTAATGGAAGAGAAAAGTATTTGAAGAGATGAGATTTTGAGGATAAGTGTAACTAATGGGATGGTTTTCAATTATTCTAGCAGCAAGTTGGGTCACGAAAACACCCCTCTTAGGTAAATTCCTGTGGTTCCAAATTCTCTCTGTAACTCTTCCCTTCACCATTAACAAAGAAATTTCACTTAAAAACACTAGTCAGTGCAAGGTAAATATTTAAGCTTCAGTACTATTTGTACAGAATCAGCTGACATCAGCACCCTGTTGAAAGTAACAGAACAAAATGCATCAGATATCAATTGCCTTCGATTGGTACGTCTGGAAAATAGATGCATGCATGGAAGTTTGGTTAAAAAACAGGAACTGCTCAGCTGTGACATTCTCTATTGTTTGTTTTCACGAAGAGTAGTTAGTTTGGTGATACACAGAAGGTGATTACTCTTTGTGGGAAGTAATGAGTAAAAAAGTTTAAATAATTTGAACATAATCTGCAAGAATTGCGTTTCAGACACAATCATTTGCCAGTCAGCATTAGTGAACTAAATACATGTCAACAAGGCCAGATGCATTTTGTTATGCCTGTTCAGAATTACATTTCTGATAACTTGTAAATTACCTCAACAGCGCAAACCAGTAATTCTTACACTTACAGCAAAATTATTAAAAAATATTTCAGAAGCGAATTAAACCTTGCACGTTTAACCAATTTTATGAATTGTTCACTGAAATTATAGTAAGTGAGCTGAGAGAATTCACGGCTAAAGAAATAATTAGGTAATTTCTAGGTGACACTCTGGTGAGTAAGTGACACTTTTTTTAACAAAAAATACAAAATCTCCGGTGTAAATACTATAAAAAATGAGAATTACAGAAATGGTGAGAAGGGAAAAGCCCCATGGTCCATCTAGATTGTCTCATGGCATCATGATATGAACTCAATTGAGAGAGTAATGAGAAAAGTCTGTATTTTAGTGACATAAGCTAAGCAGGAATCTCGGAGAGAATTCCCTGTTTTTAATTCAAATAATGTTGTAGAATATTTTATATCCTCCACGGCAGGCAAATGTGGTTTTACTACTTGTTAATTAGTTTATTGCCTAGTATGGTGAATCTGTGCTATGCGTCTACAGTTGTTTTAATGTCCCCTTTTATAAAGGGGTCCCCAAAACTGAATACATTATTCTGACTGGTGCAACTTTCTCTTGGATAAGTTCTTGTATTCTATTAATAAAACCCTTGTTTGGAAATGGTTTTATCTACATGCATAAAAGCTTTGACATCATTATTATCACACTCCTGGTTAAATGTAATTATTATCACAGTCCATCTTGGGCAAAGATTGCTGATGCTAATATTAGTTTCCTGGCCCATATGTTAATGAAGAGTACCTTTCTGTTTTATGCTTGTGCTTTCAAATCTTGTTTATTTTCACAAAGGTCTCTGGGAATTGAGTAAACAGAATATGCCTAGCATCCTGAGACAAGTATTGCTGTATTAGATTGATGACTTATCATGTCAGTACTACACGTGCTACAGCGGTTTCTGATAAATGTTGGGCACCCTTGTCGTTAAGTAGTGGCCTTGTACTTCACTATAGGGTACCAACACTCTCCCCAAACATTGATCAAACATGAACGTTGATGGTGAACATCCAAAGCTTTACTGAACCTAATGTTATGATCCCAGCTGATGGTAAAGGAGGACATTTCTGATCTCAAAATAAAACCTGGCTTGATTGATCATTTGTTTAATTTTTGCAGTTGGTTTTTGTAGGTGACAGTTAGGAAGATCTTAACACAAACATCAAACCCAAAATTTCAACTCGTTCCCAATATTATCCTTTTACAGATACTCAACTCGAGAAATTTCACTGCTGTCTCAACTCTTAAGTTGTTATTTAACTAACTCCTCCTAAATTCTTTTCCTCAGATCGTAGGGGCAGTTTTATAGTTTGCTGGCATGAAGTGCTCCCAGTTCTGATAACTTAAACTTTTTCTCTTCTGTTAACTTAAATTTCTATCCAAGCTCTTCTCAATTGGAAGCACCACACACTAAATTCTTCAGCTATAGTGACTGTTTCCCTGAACTAAAAGCTTGATTCTCCACCTTAGAGAAATTGTTTTCCATTCTGAACTGAACTCAAAAACTAAAACTGATGGCTTTCTGGTCTGTTGTAAACACAACAGTATAAATGTTTCATCTATTAACATCACAGGGATTCTGCCAGGCACTTGATTGAAGTCACATGTTGCCTTAGAATTCATTTATTTAGGCCACTAATCCAAATGAGTTTTTGCCCTTTTTAAAATGATTATGTTCACAGAACTGAACCTGTTTCTATTTTGAAATCAAAGTCCCAAAATTTAATATTTATATGACCTACACGTTTCATCATACAAATCCCATTATTATTCACACACACTGAGCAGACAGCACATTTCTCCATCTGATATACAACCAGGAAGAGGCTACTTGATCATTTTTCACCATTCATTGAGATCATGGTTGATCTGTGATCTATTTCCTGCCTTTGCTTCACCTCCCTTAACACTTTTGATTAACAAAAGTCTGTCAGTCCCCATTTTAACATGTATATTTGATCGAGCACCAATCCCCAAATTTTCTCAATTTCTGCCACTTTGTGTTTGGAAATGTTTCCTGATTTCACTCCTAAGTTTTTATGATCTAATTTTTCAACTAGGCCTGTAAATCCTGTATTCTGCGTCCACCAGAGATGGTGCGTGTTCAAAAAAACCAGCTTCTACCTTTAACAGCTGTACAAATTGTAGGACACGATGTGCTTTTACGCTTTGATCAGCTAATGATTGGTATCTTTCTGGTTTGTTTAGCTCAACTTCCAACTGATTGAACTCATTCCACTTCATGGAAGTGGGATCCCAGCATATTTTAAATGTGTATTCTGTGCCATTCCTTAATGAGGTAATTCTGAACACCATCCAGAAGGATTCAGCATTCATTAAAGTTGTAAACAAGCAAACTGTTTTCATTTCTGAGGAAGGGTCTAGACCCGAAACTTCAGCTTTCCTGCTCCTCTGATGCTGCTTGGCCTGCAGTGTTCATCAGCTCTACACCTTGTTATCTCAAACTTTTTGAAGTAGCTGGATTAACTAAAAAACATCTTTTGTTTTACGCTTTTATACATTACTTCAACATTGCAAAAAGCACATTCTCTGGGATGTAAAGCACTCTGCAATGATCTTCTGAATTAAAGAAACTTTTTTGAATATTGTTGGGTATTGGAATCCTTTTTTTCTTTGTTCACTTGAAGTTACCAGGCTGAAATGAGCTATATGTACAGTTAAACTGAAACTGCATGGTGGTTGGTTTTTCCCGATCTCCTTTTATTGTTTTATCCTCTCCTTGATTTATTCTTTTACAATTCTGTTAGTTGTGCACGTTTTTCCGCAGTCTAGCAATAATACATTGTCCGTTCTTTCTGGTGTGAAATACCGAAGTGTAATTTGATTTCTTCTGCATATTTCAGAATGCCAGCCCTTAGTTGTCGGTTTTACCAACACAAATTTCCAGAGGTGGAAGATGTGGTGATGGTAAATGTCCGCTCCATTGCGGAGATGGGTGCCTATGTCAGCCTTCTAGAATATAACAACATTGAAGGCATGATTCTTCTAAGTGAACTTTCAAGAAGGCGTATCCGATCTATCAACAAACTGATTCGAATTGGTAGAAATGAATGTGTTGTTGTAATCCGAGTCGACAAAGAGAAAGGTATGCAGATTGTGAAAACTGTCTTGTCATGTTTTTAGATTTAGAAATGGCTCGCCATCAAGATGATAATTGGGGTGTCATTAATAGTTCATTCTTTTTGTTTGCTAGTCTCTGGCTCACTGGTTGTGCTTTTTCTTGGGCATCTGGTGAGCGTTCAAAACCCACTAGGGAGCTTGAGGTCAAAGTCTAGAGTGCTGGTGCAGTGTAGCATTGCAATTTGGATCAGTCTTTAAATGAAGGCCCCAGCTGGCAGCTTTCACTTCCATAACGGTCTGTGATCCTGTTTCAACTTGTTTGCTGAAACCATCATTCATGCATTTTAATATTTCTACACTTAAATGAACTAGTGTTTGCCTGTTGGGTCTCCCTAACACAAGTCGCATCAAATCTTGTTCCTCTGTGACCTTTGCACTTACCTTTTTTTTGGCTTCCAGGCTGGCAAGCCGTTTTTTTTTAAATTAAATTTTCATTCTTAATCCCGTATTCCATGTCTACACTCTGTCTATCTCTGTAAATCCTCCAAACCCACAAATCCAAGAGCTTGGCATATTTCCCAATACTGGCATTCTGCCTGCTCTATATTTTAATTGCTTTTAATTGTGGTCTTGCCTTCAGATACCCTGGAATTCCCTCCCTAATGCTCACTGACTCTAGATCACTCTCCTTTTTTTAAGGCACTTATTTAACCCTTTTGCAACAGCTCTGAGATCTTATGTGATGTCGCAATTTCTTCATTAATGTCCCTAAATGCTTTTGGATGTTTTATTAAATTGAAGATTTTACATAAATGTGAATTATTGTTGTTGTTGAGACCCTTAGTGCTCTAGCTTTAGTGTTCAGTTCATTTGATGTGTGTAATGAAGTGAAGGGTTACTTGAGCTACACAACTTTGAAACATGATGGGATCCTAGTTTTATTTTCCTTAAACCGTCTAGATACCTTACCTACATAATGGAATGTTTTAGGATTGCCTCTTACGGCAGGAAATTATGGCCATTGTGGTTGATTGTATTGTAATTGTCTTATTTGATCCAGGTTACATTGATTTGTCAAAGCGCCGAGTTTCGCAAGAAGAAACTATAAAATGTGAAGACAAGTTTACCAAGTCCAAGACTGTAAGCATTTTCTTTTTTTTTAAAAGCATGTATTTAATACATTGCATGAAAGAATTTAAAATTGTACTGATGGGCTCCTGAGCGCCAACATCCGAGTTCAGTATGTTACCTTTTTCTAGTCAGGCATTTAGAATGTGTTTCAGGTTTTTGTGGCAGCAAGTCAGTGGCATTGCATCAACTGCAGATGCCAATGCAAAACTTGTGTATAGATACATTTTTGTGGACATGTGCCTTGAGTCTGTTAATGTGACAATGAAGATGAAGATTTTGCTGTGCAAGTTTCTTCTCTAGCATAACATATTTTTATGTCTACACTTTTCTCTCAGTAATAGAAATTGAGGCACGTTAAACTGTTAGCGTTTTAAAATGCCCGATAATCGTAGCTGATGTAAACAGTCTGCATTCATTTTTAGCCTTTTGGTGGGTGGGTGGCTTGCTGGTTTCCATCATTACCTTGCCAGAAGGGAATTGGGGAAAAAAAAAAGTTTACCTTGCAGTTGATTATATAAATATTCAGAATTTGGCCTCTTGAGCTTGATCTGTCATTCATGAAGATAATGTCAGATTTCCTGTCTACCCTCCATATCCATTAACTATTGTTAAATTCTTAACTATCAATCTCTGCCTTAAAAGTATTCACTTACCCATCTCTAGTGCAATCTGGCAAAGGAAGGTCCAGACTCTGAATGCTCTGAGGAGAAAAAAATCTAATCTCTATCTCAAATCTGAGGCCCCTGACTTTTAAATTCCATCACCTACTTTTAGTCTTTCTCACAAGGGGAAATGTTTTTTTTACAGCATCCATCCTATCCTTTCTCCTCAGGGTATTATGCTTCAATAGGATCACCTCTTATCTAAATTCTTATGAATTCAGGTCCATTGCTTCCTCTTAAGATAAGTCCCTCATACCAGGTGTCAGTTGAGTGAATCTTATCTGAACTGCTAGTGCATAAATTCAGAGTTCAAAAGTATAAACAGTACTGGTCAGATATGGTCTCACCAATGCCTGCACAATAGGCCGTTCCTGCTTTTATATTGCATTTCTTTTGCAATAAAAAATATAATTTATCTTGCGCCATCCACTTGCTGAAAGTGACTAACTTGAGAATCATGTACAAGGCCACCCAGAGTTCTGCAATCTTTCTCCACTTAAATAATATGCTGTTTTTCTGTTCTTCCTGCTAAAGTAGACAACTTCTCATTTTGCCATCTGTCAAATTATTAGGCACTTATTTTAACTTTACATTTATTTCTGGGAGGTTGTTTGTATCCTGCATAGTGAAGTCAGATGCAAACTGTCTGTTTTCTTTGTCAACCAGTTTCTTATTTTCCATTATTAATTCCCCATATACATTCTCTGAAGGACTAACTTTCCTTTCCTTTGTAAATACATGTAGAGACTCTTAATATTCAGTCAAGATATTCCAATGGCTAGTGTTGTCACAGCAGCGCAGATTGAGACCATGCAGGATTCCTCTCTCAGCTGACTCCTGGGTAACTGTTAAACTGAATATCCCCTCCGTGACCCAGCCTGACAGTGCCTGCCCTGGCCTGACCCCCAATCTACCTTAAGCACTCCTGCACCCCACCTATCTTGTGTATCTGGCGCTCCAGTTTCCTCACTTGTCTTGCATGATTATCTTTTCACATGAGCTTTTCAAGTGGGTGGCTCTGCAGCTGGAGATTTAAATCAGATCATGACACACTGTTGCAAAAGGGTCCTAGTTTCTATAAAATCTTATGTGCTGTTGGGTTCCTGGATATGTTCAGAATAGGGGGCCCTTGTCCAGGAATCTCTATCATACATGTGATCCAACGGAACGTGGGTAACTTTTAATCTAATCAAGTTTGGATATAGGGTTCTAAACTCTGACTATAATACCTGGCCCTTCTGCTTTTGTATTTCTAGCTATCTTCTCATTCTATCCCTATTTTGAATTGCTTTTCACTGTTTTTGTATTTTATCCATTTTTTTTTAACCTATCACTAATTTTCACAATATTACATGCCTTTTCTTTCAATTAGATGCAATCTTTAACCTCCTTATTGAGCCATGAATGGTGCAATCTTTCCCAGACTTTCTTTTTCACTGGAATATTATTTATTGAGTGTTACTAAATATCTTTTTAATATTCGTTACTGCAGCTGTACTAACATATGGCTTAAACTAGTTCCCCAGTTCACTTTAGCCAGTTCTATCCTCATAATTGCTAACTGCCTAAGTTCAAAATACAGTTCTTAGCCCAGCCTTCTCTCCCTCAACTGAGCATGAAATTCAATCATGCTATGATTACTGCTACCTAGAGGCGCCTTTGCTTTGAGTGATTATTAACCCTGCCCTGTTCCACATTAGCAGGTCTCGAATTTACCTAACCTCCAGTAGGCATTAAAATATGCTGCTTTCAGAAACTGCTTATTTACTCATCTTCTGGGATGTTTTTACAGAATCTCAGAATTGTTCCTGTGCAGAAGGAATCCGTTCAACCCATTGTAACTACATTGGCTCTTCAAACAAGTGTCATTAACTAGTGCCAATCTCCTGCTTTTTCCTCAGACCCTTGCAACATTATTTCTATGTAAATAATCATCTAATGCCCTCTTGAATGCCTCAACTGAACCGCCTTCACCGCACTTCCAGGCATTTCACTCGATGCCCGAACTACTTGTGTGTAAAAGCTTTTTTTCACGTCACTTGCTTCTCTTGCATGTCTCTTTAAATCTCTGTTCCTTCATTATTGTTCCTTTTTGAGTGGGAACAACTCCTGCCTGTGTAATCTATCCAGCTGGTTTAATTTTGAAAATCTTTGTCAAATCTCCTCTCGACCTTTTTCTCTCTAAGGGGAACACTTCCAACTTCTTCAGTCTGTCCTCATGACTGAAGGTTCTCATTCTTGGAACCATTTTTATGGATTACTTCTGCACTGTCTGCATTCACATCTTTCCAATTATGTGGCACCCACAACTGCAGCTGAGGTCTAGAAAATGTCTTATACAAGTTTCATATCACCTCCTTGCTCTTGTACATAATGTCCCTCTAAAGAAAGCTGAGGACACTGTTTTATTAACTGCTATCTCCACCTGCCCTTCCACCTTCAATGATCTGTGCACCTGGGTCCCTCTGCTGTTCACCCCCTTTAGAATTGCATCCCCTATTGACAAAGATCGAAGAACACAAAGTCAATCTGATTTGTCCATTCTGTATATAGTTTAAAATCATGAAGTCATTTTTCTCAAATAGCTACCAGAGCATTCTTATTTGTTTCTATTTGAGTTGTTGGTTTATTGTTTCTGCTTGAATTGTCATTTCATCTGTTTATTACAAAAGCTATGCACATTCACATACAGAGCCTTTTAGTTTTTTTTTGCCGCATAGCTTTATCTGTTGGTGTTCGTATGCTAAATCTGTTTTTCGCTGATTAACATTTCCTTTACTGCTGCCTTGCTCTTTTGCTTGTCCTGTCTTTATTTGACCTCCTCTTCCCTCACTTGCTAGTATCATTTGGTTAAAAATCCTCTTGACTTGCCCTAGTTATACACCTGGGTTCCAGCATAGTTCAGGTGAAGACCATCCCAATGCATAACTCTTTCACCAACGCACTTATGCCAGTGCTCCATGAATCAAAACCTGTTTCTTCCACACTAGTTATCCAGCCATGCTTGCAACTCTCCAGTCTTATTTACCCTACTCGAATTCACTTGTGGCCCAGATAACAGTCACTAGATTACCACATTTGGGTTTGGCTTTTTAATTTAACCCCTAACTGCATGCACACGGTAAGCAGACCCTTTTTTTTTTCTTGTCCTGTCAATGCCATTGGTACATCATTGGTGATCCTCCCCTTCCCACTGCAAATTTCAGTCCAGTCCAGAATAGATTTCCCAAATACTGGTCTCTGGCTGCTGAGATCCATTGACAATCCCCCTAACTATTATGATATAGATGTCTTGAAATGTCAGCTTGACTCATTGCATTCCAGCCTTTGAGTTAAAACGTGGGATCAAACCTGCTAGAAATGTTTTGGTGTGTGTATGTATTAGCAATATTAGTATTGCCAGCCTTCCCATACGTGAACTCACATATCTCAAGTTGAGTTTGCTTTTGCTATGCAGTATCTAGGTAAGTAATAGTGTAACCAGTGAGCGGTACGACAAAGAAACTCATACATTATCTGAAAGGGACGTCATGATCCTTGCAAGTTCACTCTCATATGTGCCTTCATTCTTCCAGTTCAATGGACTGATTAACCCATTTAGTGAGAAAAAGATCCATTGTTCAGTCCTTTATTCCAGAGTCATCAAGGAAATGTACAGAATAACTATTAAAACAATTCAATAATAGTCCCTGAAATTAAAAATAAAAACTCTGCCTTGTCTAGTTATTGTTAAATATGGTTGCTGTCGGTCAGTCTTAATGTTGAATTCAAGGTTTAAGTTGGAACTTAATGGAGTCTATTGTTGATAAGGTACCTCGCCATGCCTTGTCTGGTTGTATGCCTTTGTCCGTGGGCCATGAGCCTCTTCGGTCTACCAATTAAACTGGGTACTCCTCTCCCATTAGCGAATTCTTTTCAGGCCACTCTTACTGTCTTTGCAAGAAAGGTTATTCATATGAGAAATAACTATTATAATTCAAACAAAACAATAAATTACCTATTATCCCAGACTGATACCAGTTACACATGGTAACCTGAAACGGCTGGATGAAACTACATACTTGTGAATTAACTCTTAAAAACCCTGAGTCTTAAAAGTTGAAACAGATTTTTCAGTGTATAATAAGTAAACTCTAAATGTGACAGTCTTTCCTAGGGATCAGATGGATTTAAAATAATCCATCAGTGTATCGCTGAGGGGACTTTTGTGTTGATGAATATGTCTTTCATGTGGGATGTTTCTTGTTGTTTGTCTGATTTCTATTTGTGTAGACACAAATTCAAGGCAATGATGTAAGGAGCACAGGGAATTCTGGTGGCCCCAACAATTAGCACAGATTGGTTGCCACTTTTCACTTTTTACAAAGCTCTGTTTGCACTTCAGTAGGAATTCATTACTGTAAAGCACTTTGACATCTTTCAAACAATGGTCTATGTTTCTAATGAATCATCGTGTCTAAGAATAAAGGCACACTTGTGTTTACTTTTCAACAGGTGTATAGCATTTTGCGACATGTGGCAGAGGTGCTCGAATATACTAAAGATGAGCAGCTGGATAGTCTGTTTCAGAGAACTGCCTGGGTCTTTGATGAGAAGTACAAGAGGCCTGGATATGGAGCTTATGATGCATTTAAACATGCAGTTTCGTAAGAAATAATTTATTTGTACTTCATTGAAGGGGTGGGAGACTTGGAGAAGTTCCTCATGAACTGAATTTATATTACAGAACTTATTTTGCGGCCAACTGAGTGCATTTAAGGGCACTGGGCTAAACCCTTACCAAGAGCAGGCCTGTTATCTGTATTATGGTTTGCTGTTGGGAAGCACTGTTCTAAGCTGAATGATGTATCATGACTTTTCTTGAAGTACAAAAATTTAATAGGATAAGCATGTATCCTATTAACATTGCAGTTGTACCAAGGAAATCTAATTCAGTTGTTAGCTCATCTGAAAGCAACTTGGTTGCCACTTGATGGCAGCAGTTCCATTCTTTGCTGACAGGATGCAATTAAATTGGAGAATTTTAAATGGAATGTTCCTTTCCCCGCTACATCTGCAGACATTAACACACTTAATTGGAGAATGTGCTGGTGTCCTGGTAATGTCACAAGGCTGGTAATCCAGGTCCCAGGACTACTGTCCTGGGGACAGTAGTTCAGATGACAGCGTTGCAGACAGTGAAATTTGAATTGAATAAAATCTGAAATCAAAGCTAGCTTAATGGTACCTGTTTAACCATTGTCCTGTCTGGTTCACTTTTTTGTACCTTACCTGATTTGGCCTACATGTGACTCCAGACCCACTGCAATATTATTTATTCTTAACTGCCCTCTGGAAAGCCATGGAGAACTAAGCAGTGTAGGCAATTAAGGATGGGTACCAAATGCAAGCCTTACTAGTGATACCAACTCTCCATTCAAAAAATGTAAATAGTATTTATGCAATAGCTTAGCTTTTCAAAAATGTTTCAATACATCCAAACAACACATTGTATCTATTAGCAGTTTGTATTTTATCACGTTATAGATTGAGTTTTTAATGCCAGCATTGAAACATTTCTTCAATGCTAGACCTGAAATTAAACTTCTATTTCAGCGCTCCTATGTAGTTCATCCTTCCCGAACCCCATTATCTAGAATTTTGAATTAAATTGATTTTGTGTGTCATTTTAGAATTTAAATTCACATTAAAACAGGTGACATTCAATAATACCTTTATCTTAAAACTACTATACAGCAAACCAACTGACATAAATTAATATGCAGCATTTAAAAGGGTAAAATCGCCATAGTCTTACCAGATCATAGACTGCACTGTCACTAGACAAAGACGACTGGCAATGGTTTAACCTAAGGGTCACCATGTCTCGGGCAAGGGATGACGTTGAGAAGGAGAGCCCTTCATGGTAACCCCAGCTGGTATCGGAATTGAATCCACAATGTTGCATGTCTCTGCCATCTAGCCATCAGCCTAACCAGCTCCCTGCAATGTTAAAAGAACGGGAGTAAATTAATTAATCATGTAAGTCAAACATGATCCAATGAAATGGTTGAACAGGTTTCAGTGGTCTGTTTCTATGCTGCCATTAGACATTTTATGTTTTAATTGTTTGAAATCATAGGAATTTATGGCACAGAAAAAAACCCAATTAACAGACCTGGTCTGTTCTAGTCTGTTTTTGTAGTAGTTTTAATTTGAAGGATTTCAGCTTGTTATATGGATTCTTAGATGCAAGATTACAGCCGACGTTGTCTGCATAAGAGACTCCTCACTTAAAAATTGATGTGGAACATTTGGTGAAGTCCAGTGAAATAACAAAATTATTGTATAAATACTCAACCCAAGAACATCTCAAGAGTTCATTGCAGTAATGTCCTAGGCCTTAACTGTCCTCAGCTGCTTCATCAGTCGCTTTCCCTCCATCCCTAAGGTCAGAAGTGGTGTTGTTCACTGATTGCAAAATGTTCAATACCAGTTATGCACCTCTGATACTTGGGAACTCCTTTTCCATTTCCCCAGCAAGACCCAGGGCAACACCATAAGTGGCAAAGGTAAGTTCCAGGCAATGACCTCATTCAGCAAGAGAGAAACTGACCATTGCACTTGATATTTGATTGGGATGGCATTAGCAGTACTAAGTCACCCATTATCAATATCCTGAGACTTAGCATTGCGCGGAAGTTGAACTAGACCAGTCTTATCAATACTGTGGTGATAAGAACAGGTCAGAGATGAGAAATTCTGCAGTGAGTAACTCGTGTCCTGTCTCCCCAAAATCTATACCGCATCTACAAGACAGAGTCTGGAGTGTTTCGAAATACTCTCCACTTGCCCAGTTCAGTGCAACTCCAGCAACACTCTCAGCTTGACACCACCCAGGACAAAGCAGCCCATTTAATTGGCACCCTATCCACCACCTTCACCACTGACTCCCTTTACTGATGCACAGTAGCAGCAGTGTATACTCCAAGATATAGTGCAGTAATTCACCAATACTTCTTTGACAGTAGCTTCCAAATTCACATCCACATCCACAACCACTTAGAAAGTCAAGGGCAGCAGTTGTATGGGAGCACCGTTACCTGCAAATTGCCCTCCAAGTCACACAATCCTTATTTGCATATTGCTATGTTGGATCAAAATCCTGGAATTGCCTTCCTGACAGTGCTGTGGGTGTCCTTCTATCCCAAGGATGGCAGCTGTTCAAGAAGGCAGCTCACTGCCAGTTTCTCCTGGGCAATTGAGGGTGGGCAATAAATGCTGATATCCATAACCTTCAAATGAATTAATAAAAAGCAAGTCTTTCCATTGTATCTTGTTTACGATAAGCCAGGCATTGAGTTTAAATCTGTTTGTTGTTCTGTAATTAAATTGATCATGTCTGAAGGTAATTCCAGATGTTCTGGCTTCATTCAACCCAGTGCCTCCAATAAACTATCCTTTATGTACTTTCCTTGATGGTAATTATTAGTACCTTGTTACACCAGCATTTTACATAAGGCTAATCTTAACTGGCACATGTCATTCCAGTCAAGTCAGTAGATTGTGAATAGGAGCTGCAAGATCTCCCCCTTTCTCTCTCACTCTCCACCTCTGAACACACCCACACACCTTCATGTGCCTCCAAACCAGTAGCACTAATTGTAACAGTCCTCCTGCCATTGAGCTGAGATTAGTTAATTCCCAACGGATCAGGGATTTCCAAGATCCTCCTGGTGTATACAGGCAGTCCCTAGGTTCCATACAGGTTCCGTTGTTGAGCTCATTCACACTTCAATTTACACAGATGTCTGAACAAAATGCAGGACAGTATAAATTAGCCATTTACAAGTGGTCATGTGTCGGACCTTTAAAAGATCATATATAAGATCATGTTTGTAAATCGGGGACCCCCTGTGTGTAAAAGCTGTAAGTTTATTATGACACCATGGAAATTAATGTGTGGCCAGTCTTTCACCTTCATCTTTGCCTATTTCTTCCTCATCCACACAAAACGGAGGTTTTGTCATCTGACTCTTTTCTCTTTGCAGCATTATGCACACAGTCTAAACGTTGATTTGTTCATTATGTCAATAATTTGTTCTTTTGCCCACAGAGACCCAACAATTCTTGACAGTCTCGATTTGACAGAAGAAGAGCGAGGTGTGTTACTGGAAAATATCAGACGACGTCTCACTCCACAGGCTGTTAAAATTAGGGCAGGTGTGTCCAATGTACTTCTGTATTATATTCAGAACTCTTGGGATAATGCAAGCTCAGCCAGATATATCAAAAAATGAATGTTATTCATTGTTTGTCAACCATAGTAGAATTCGGGTGTATTAAAATGATATCAGCATTCTCTCTTGACCTGTTACTCCTTGGAGAAATTAATGATTCTCTAGTTGGTTGTCTTTTCTGAGCTTGAATAATGATGCTCTGTTGTCTGGGGGGCATGTAAAAAGAGGGTTCAACGTGTAACTTAATTACAATAGTAAATGTAATGATCATGCTTCTATCAAACATTTAAGGTTTGTTAGTAAAGACCATAGGAAAAGGTCAGCATGCTTTTGACCACATGCAGTTTCATGTTAGTTCTTGTTTCTTCCCCACCAAGTTGTCTGTCTTCAGTTTCACAGACTACAGTATCATTTATATTCTAGACTTGGAATCCTAACTGCCATTAATGTCAAGTTTCTAGTAGATTTTTAAAAACTTGTTTTTATACTGTTATTGGTTGGACTTTGAAAATGGCAAGTAAGTCAGTTTATTGTTGCCTCAGTCACTTTTGTCAACTTCTCTTACTGTGTACAGAGCAACTTATTTTCCCCCCTCTGAGAGTACTGCACAGGAGCACGAGTCCTGTGTTGTGTGTGTGTGTGTGTGTGTGCGTATACATAATTTGTAGTTTTGCAACATCAGAGAAAATGAAACTCTGGATATGGTTCAATTCTGACCTGGCTCCAAATATGTTACATTTCCCCATCACCAAAAACCAATCAACCGTAAGTTAATTAAATTTATCATAAGAGAAATAGGGTTGTGAAAGGCATATTGACTGTGATGGGTTGAGTCGAATTAATGCAGAATGCCTTGATTGAGAGACTATGCCCTCTGCAGAAGAAGGAAAATCAGCTGATTCAGAATGAGGTTTGAGGATTCCTTGTGACAAAATAAACATCTGATAGAATTTGGTACAAAAGTAAAATCCTTCTGTACAAGGTTAAAGTAAGATTCTTTTTCTGAGCTACTTTTGTGAAAGGAGAATATCTCTTCAGATTGATGCACACAGGATATGTTCTGCAAGTGTAGGATTGATTTCTGTTAAGTTCACTTCAGGGAATATACAGCTTAGAAATACAACTTTCAGACAAACTAATCCATGTTGATCTTTATATTATACATGGAATGCCTCTCATTCTGTCTACCTGAAGAAGTTTTCAGCCACCCTTTTCCTTTTTTTTGTCAGTCATCTATCTTCACTTTTTACGTCATTTTTATTGTTTGTACAAAACAGAAGAAGACCATTCAGCCCATTGGGTACTTGCTAATGTTTGTTACACGTGAGCCCCCTCCAGTTTTCCATCAGTTAAACTTGTCAATGCATCTTATTTCTTTCTCCATCTTGTCAGCTAGTTTCTATGCCTCTACTAGCAACTTCACCTACTCCTTGTAGCAGCAAACTTCATACTCTAATTGGGTAAAAACGTAAGGCTTCTAGTTCTATCCTCCAGCACATGAGAAATTTTCTGTGTCATAATTATTAAATCCTTTTGATCTCACTTGGGTCATCTTCCGGTTTTTCTTTTCCTCGAGATAAGTCTCAGCCCGTTCTGTCATTCTTAATATGTATAACCTCTCAGCTCTGCTATCAGTCTAATAAATCTTGTCCATCTTCTCCTGTGTTTCCATATCCTTTTTATAATGTGGAGAGCTGCTGTAGAACATAAGAACATTAAAAAAAAAATGGAGCAGGAGGAAGCTGTTCTGGTCCAAGAGGTTGCTTTATCTTGAATAAAATCTTGGCTGATATGATTGCAGCCCTAATTCCACCTGCCTGCGTTACTCCTGGAGTCATCAGAAAAGTTGAAGATTTTAATCAAGGTGCACAAAATTCTCCAATTCACCTGTCTTTTTAGACCCAAGTTGACAACTAGTTATTGACTCTTTCTACTAATGGAAAAAGTGCCTTCCTATCCACTCTGTGCCTGATTATAATCTTATAGACCTTCTATCACCTCTCCTCTTAAACTTTACTGCTTCAAGGAAAATAACCCCAACCAATCCAATTGTTCCTCATAGCTCAAGCCATCCAGCACAGACAGCATCATGTAAATCTCCACTGCACTGTCTGTAGTGCAATTGCATTCTTCCTATAATGTCTTGACCAAGACTTCACTGCAGTATTTCACTCGTGGCGTGACATGTTTTGTACAGTTCCTGCGTAACTCTCTTTTTCACTCGTGTTCTGTGCTTCAGCTAATAAAGGCAAATAACCTATATGCTTTCATGACGACCTTTTTCTATTTGACACATTACTTTCAGAAGTCTGTAATCCTGTGTTTTATCGCAGTTCTCCTCTGTAGTAAGTACACAGTTTGGTGCTGTCAGCAAATCTTGAAATGGCACTGCTGAGTCCAAATGCGATATGTGAATGGTAAATAAGTGATCCTAGCACCAATTCCTGTGACTCGCCTCTTTCCAATCTTTGCCAATCTGAATAACCGTTTTTAACTCCTAATTAGTTTTCTGTTTTGCAACCAACTTACCATTCGTTCTGCTACTTTTGCCCTAATTCTGTACGTTCTGACCTTATTCCTAAATTTGCATTGGAATACCCTACCTTGTACTTTATTGGCAGTTTTAATTACTTTTCTAATCTATTGTGCTTTTAGTAACTTGTTCTCTTGTGTCCCCAGATCCATTTGCTCTTCTACACAGAGTGCATTTTCTTATTTTCGAAGATGTGGGTGGTTTTCTTTAATCAAAGCACATCACCTCTCATTTATCTATATTTAAAGACCATTTGCTAGTTAACTGCCCAGCCTGTGGTATTTCTAATGTCTAATTCATTTGAGTTATCGATGCATTTGAAAGATCCTGTGTAGTTGCATCTTGTTCTTCAACAAGGAATTCCTTACTTTGGTCAAGCCTCACTTATGGTTTTCAATTATATTTTTGTATCTTAAACTAGATATTGAAGTTGCATGTTATGGATACGAAGGAATTGATGCTGTTAAAGAGGCACTTCGAGCTGGTCTAGAATGTTCTACTGAATTGATGCCCATTAAGGTGAGTGTTCAGACAATAAAATATTTTCTAGTAGTTGTGGCTGAATATGATCATCATGCCGCCTTCTCACAAATGACTTCAAGAACCTAAAAAACATACATATCCCTGGATCAGCTCAGTGTTTGAGTACTCTGAATCTTGAGGTCTGCCTAATTGCATTTTCTCTACTGAGCGAGGTTTGATTGACTGACTTGACTGTAATCTTAATGATTGGGCAGTATTTGTTATATAATGATGAGTTATATAAGCCCACTTGAGTTGTTATGAAAATATTCATTTGTTAACAGATTTTTTCTTTGATATCTTTGATTCTATTGTGCAATCTTAAGTAGACTAAAGTAAACAATGGGAAAACATTTAAAGCAATAATTCAGAGGTACTCTGTTCTATCCTTTCTGAATCAAAGACAAGGATGAGATTATCCATGTACGTTGAAATCCATTAGCCACAGATTTGCCCATTTCAGCTAATCGTCAGTATCTTTATAATCTAATACTTCCATCCCAAACTGCTTGGAATGCTATCTATCTTTGAGTCACCAGCAAATTTGTATATGCGGGTTTAAATCCCATCATTTATAGCATTATTAAATACAGTGAATAATTTGAGGTTCCAAAGATCTTCGTAGGTCACAATCTACCAGTTAGACTGCCTCCCAATTGACCTGAAATTCTGTCTTCAGTCACTGAGCCAATTTCCTATCCAGGTCAGCAAGTTGCCTTGAGTTTTGTGGGTTTCATTATAAGTGAGGGACTTTATCGAATTAATCCTGGATGCTGATAGATGTTCCAAAGTCAATCACATTTTCAGAAAAGTCCAATCAAGTTTGTGGGAAAGATCCATCTTTTACAACTCCCTGTTGCCTGTCTCTGGTCAGCTGGAAATTTTCAAGATGTTCAGTCATGCTGTCCTTATTTATAGATTCTGTTGATTTCTTGACAACAGATGTTGGGCTTGCCTATAATTCCCTATAAATTGTCTGACATCCTTATTAAATAGCACAGTGGCATGCACAATTCTCCAATATAAAGAAACAATTCCTTAATTTAGAGAAGTCTGGAAGATTATAGTTGTAACATCTCCAATGTTCCCACCACTTTTGTTTTTAAGCAGAAGACTTTAAACAATCTGATCCAGTGGATTTGCCATTCCTGAGTGCCCTTACTTTCTTTGGCACTTTTGGTATACTTTAATGCTTTTTCCTCATTCAGTATTAATATCCTTTTGGATTTCTGATGTACTGACCCCTTATTCTACTGAAAATGCCTATGGAATGTAACTATTATCTGCCATTTTTAAAATATTTTCAGTGACCATCATGTTTTGTAAATTTTAAAGGCCGTCGCACCTCACAGGCCTCTTTTTACAAATACAGTTGCAAAAACCTTGTGTTTTGATAGTAATCCCATTGTAGTTTGTTCACATATTCCCTCTAACTATTTTGTTACCCTTTCCCCATTCTGTTTGGCCCATTTATCAGAATTTGCAATGATTTGCTTATCCTATAGTTACCTTTTTAAACTTATTCAGTTTCCTTTCTCTTCAGCTGTCCCTTTTCTTTTTACCAAGTACAGCTTCTGTCCTTTAGGAATATAAACTTTCTATTTTTCATTAAATACTTTTCCCTCCCAGTGATCTCTCCTTTTGCCCATTGCAGATTTTCTTAGTTTACTGTGGCTATCAAGAATTAGCAGCTGAGATGTAATGAACAATGAAAGGAGAAATACTAAATTTAAAGTGGCATGCCTCTTTTTTTTCAAAGGTATATTACATACAAAATTCAATCCTGAACATGCAAGAAGTTCACTACTGTTTGGATGCGTTGATGCGCTAATGCCAGTCAAATAACTCTTCTGTGCTGTTTGTGTTTCCCAACAATAAAAGAAAAGTTTTGCAACAATGCATATGTGGCTGTGTAACTTAAGAAACTGACTGTCAAATTGTTCACAACAAATCACGGCAGAGTGATGTTCGAGGCTAATGTAATGTTGGCCCTTCTATCTGGAGAAGTTGCACTGTATGACGATACAAATTCTGCATCAGCCATATAGATCCAACCAGGGTTTTATATTAGTGATACCTTTTAATTTTTTTGTACCCGAGATGGTGCTAGAGAATGGCAATTTCATACACTTTTCACTGTATTCCTACATCACTGTACCCGAGTACATGTGACAATAAAACCTAATTCTAATTTATGATTAGCTTTTTGGAAGTTTTAAACATGACTGGTTTGGAAGTATATATTTAAGTGTGACATATTCTACCACTTATTTCAGTGGTGAGAATGGGATTTGTTGTTCAGATCAGCAAAATCTTAACCTGTCCTTTAACTTTTTCCTCAAAACTTGTAATAGCAAAAGCATCAAAATAATTGAATTGAATATAGAATAATAAAATACAGGCGAGGGCCTTTGGCCCTATACCACCAAAAGTACACTGTCATCTACACTCGTCCCACTTTTTCACACTAACCTATAATCTTGAATGTTATAACATTTCAAGTGTTCATCCAAGTACTTTCTTTTTAAAGGTTGTGAGGTTACCCACCTCAACTGACCTAACAGGCAACGCGTTCCAGACCCCGACCACAGTCTGGGTGAAAACATTTGATATTGTAACAAGATTTGGAGCAATGGTATTCCTCTCCAATAACATGATTTAGTTCATTCAAATGAAGACTATTGACATCGTGAGTTTGTTGAATTTCACACACACACAAACGTCAAAATGGTGGCTTATCATTTGGTATTGTCTGGAGAACTTCTTGAAAAGTAAAAGGTGGGTATTGTTTTTAAAAAAAAGTCATGAAGTGATTGGATAAAATTTCAGATTGGCTTAGTCTGTCAGCTAAGCCTCCTTTTATACAGAGTATTTAGATGAAATTTAAAACTCTGGAAGTCCTTTTTTTTTATACCAAGAACGGTAGTTGATCAAATTTTCATTCTCCGTTTCTACACTTGATTGAAGAAGAGCATTCACAAATAATTGCACTGGTGCTTAATTTTTACTTCCTTTTCTAGATAAATCTGATAGCTCCTCCAAGATATGTTATGACAACCACAACGCTTGAGCGTACAGAAGGCCTTTCCATTTTAAACCAAGCCATGTCAGCCATTAAAGAGCGGATTGAAGAGAAAAGGGGAGTGTTCAACATCCAGATGGAGGTCAGTACACACGTTCCTTCCATTCTCTTTGTACCAATTCCCTACGCTCCAGGATGATTTGGTTGTTGCTTTAAGATCAAGTCAGTGTCCTGCCATTAAGTATTTTGCTTGTGAATAGCACCACTATGTTGTCTGAAGAACTACAGAAGTCGAGATTTGAACATAGTTTTTGAAGAAGCATATGAGCTTTATAAACCAATTTCAGTTGGCTCAGACGAGCAATAGGGTGATGAGGACAGGAATGAGCACATTGATTAGCACCTCAAGTGATTTATACATGTAGTTCATTCTCATTCATTTGGAAGAAGTAGTAAACAGAATTTGGAATCTTTCCTAAAGCTGAGAAAGCTACCCGACCCTATCTCTCACATTCAGGCCAGAATCAAATTAGCTGCAACACGAGGTAACTGAAAAGGAGGTCAGTTTGGCTTGAGTTCTACTCCAGTCCCAGGTATTTGGCTTTAACTGCAGGATTGAAATGCAACTCGTTTTAATATTTTATAAGTTACCTAATTTATTGAAAAGTCAGTGTGATAAGCAGATGGGAATCTTCTGCGACTACAAATTAGATGCAATTCATAATGGATAATAGTGACAGGTGTGTGTAAGAGGTTATGGTAGCATTGTGATGTTGTCATTGGGTTAGTAATCCAGAAACCCAGGCAAATACTCCTGGGAATTGGAGTACAAATCCCACTTGGAGAAATTTGAAGATTGGAGAATCTGAATACAAAGCTAGTGTAAGGGTCACTTTGTAACCAGTGCCAGTTGCTTTAAAAAGCCCGTGTGCTCCACTAATATCCCTTTAAAGAAAGAAATATGACATCCTGACCCGGTCTACATGTGACTCCAAACCCGCAAGTGTGCTTAACTTTTAAACTGCCCCGTGAAATGACCCTACCAAATGAGAACTTAAAAACAGCTAAGAGATGCAAAAGCCTTAATTTTCTATTAGCATTGCATTTCAAATTTGTAATCAGCACCAAGTGTCTTCACACTTTTCATATATTGTTCATTTTTATCTGATCTTCACAGCCCAAGGTGGTTACAGATACTGATGAGACTGAGCTGGCAAGACAACTTGAGCGACTGGAGCGGGAAAATGCTGAAGTTGATGGCGATGACGATGCTGATGAAATGGAAGCAAAAACTGAGGAGTAATTAACTGCTGGCTACTGGGCGTTGATGAGGAAAGAACAAAACTCCATTCGTAATACAGACTCCAAAGTTATCAGTATTGGACGTATCCAAAAGACTTCATGCAGGAGTATTTGATTTTTCATTTACATAGCTTGTAATCAGTAATTGTTCTGATACTTTTCTTCAGTTTCAAATAGAAAATGTTCCAGGCTGTTTCCATAGTTTGTGATTGGGAATTTTTCTGGCATCTTTATTTCGCGTTTGGAACAGAGAATGTTCCAAACTGGGTCAACATTTTTGGACTATAAGCTATAACAACCACAACACCACCAACACCATTTCCACCTTGCACCCCCCCCACCAAAAGAAAAACACTTGGAAATTGCTAAATATTAATCATCCTGGAGTTCTGAAAGAATGTGGTTCTGTGGGAATGAGGAAAAGGCTTTTTGAGCAAGATTGTATTCAAAACATTTAACAAAAAAAAATAAACATTAGTAAAATGAAGTAATTTTTGAGAGTCTCAACATCATTTTTTCTCATGTACCATCAGATGCATTGCATTTGCACGCTGCAAGGAAAATCATGACTGGTTTCATAGCAAGTTTATAGCTTGCTGTACTTTTAAAGTTTGAAGCCCAAATAGAGGCTAAAAATTAAATAATTTGAACTGTACTCTGTTGTTTCTGCAGTTTGAACCTGTATTCCATTTGGCAATTATTGCATGAAATTTTGTTTACAAGTCCAAACCACTCATTTGTAATATTTTGCATTTTGAGAGGGAGCTTATGTAGAGTCAAACATCTTGACATTACTTCATGTATGCCAATTTTAGGGAGGTTGTACTCATTGGTTGTTGATCTGCTGGTGACTGGTTAAGTCTGTCCTTGGCTAGAAAATGTTCCCATTTTGAATGTGACATTGTAGTCATTACTGTGCACAACTGGATCTGTCCTTTTTTCCAAAAGAGTCAACTTATTTTATTGCCTAACAAACTTGGGGTTCCCCATGATGTTTGGTGTAGTTCATACCAGCAATGGTGAAGTTGCAGGTTTCTGAGCAATAACATTTCACAATGTTATAGAGATAGTAGGAACTGCAGATGCTGGAGAATCTGACATAACAAGGTGTAGAGCTGGATGAACACAGCAGGCCGAGCAGGAAAGCTGAAGAAGGGTCTAGGCCCGAAACATTAGCCTTCCTGCTCCTCTGATGCTGCTTGGCCTGCTGTGTTCATCCAGCTCTACACCTTGTTATCTCTCAATGTTATATATCTTCTTACTTGTTTATGGGATATGGATAACACCAGCCAAACCAGCATTTATTGCCCATCCCTAATTATTCTGGAGAGGATGGCCGTGAGCTGCTGCATTGAATTGCTGTAGTCCTTGGAACATTGGGATACCCATAGTGCTGTTAGAAAGAGATTTCAGGATTTTGACCCAGCAACAGTGAAGGAATGTTGCCCTTGTCGTTCTAGGTAAATAAGGTAAAAGTTTGGAAGATGCTTTCAGAGAAACCTTTGAGTTACTACAGTGCATTTTATGCACAATACCACTGTGTGATGGTAGTAAAGAGAAAGCCAATTAAGTTAGTTACTTTGTTCTAGATGGTGCTGAGCTTCCTCCATGTTGGAACTACCAGGTAAGTGGGCTGTATTCCATCACATTCTTGAATTGTGCCTTATATATGATGGGCAGGCTTGCAGCATTCGTGGCCCCTCATCTGGTCTTGTGCATACAGTATTTTTGTGGCAAGTCTAGTTCAGTTTCTGGTCAATGGTAAACCCAAGAATATTAGTCAAGGGGGATTCATCAGTGGTAACGCCATTGAATTTCCAGGGTCAATGGTTATATAAAATAAAACTACTTTTCTAATCAGCCTGTTCAGTGATTTTATTTCTCACCTCTGGGACAGGTGGGACTTGAAACCAGGCCTCCTGGCTTAAAGGTAGGGATACTACCACAGCACCAAAAGAATCTTACATTGTGTTGTTGGGGGTGGTCATTAATTGGCATTCATAACAATTTTATACTTTGAAGCTTGACAGTATTGGATGATTAGAATTCTCCAGCCTTTCTACTTTTTCCCACTCTTGATTGACCAACTTGTGATAAGTGGGGCTGTTATACCTCCATTGATCTGGATACAGGTGGCTAATCCAGCTGCTAAACCACCCATTAATGAAATTTTACTGTCGCTATTCATTTCCAGATGTCTACAGTTTCAGTGGTGCATTTGTTAAACACCAAAGAGTATTAACTGGACATAAAATTCCAACAGCCACACTGATTCCACAATCTATAACTATGGGAATTGCATTCATTGTTTTCTTTGCTCGTACTGATTCTCTGAACTGAACCAGGGTGGAAATAATTGGAAATAATTTCAGTCGATCTTTTATATATTTGGTGTTAACAATGGCTGCTGCAAATTGCTAATCAGAAGGCATTCATCACATATGGTGGCAGCTAACATCAAACTTAATGCATTATTATTTATGTGTTGGCTTTGTTTTGAACTATGTTTAAGAACTATTGTTAAATTATAGCAGGGATGGGCAAAGCTTTGGCTAGAGAACAGCACCTGCATACAGAAGTTGTAAATGCTCATGCTTTAAAAAAAAAAAAATTAAGATCAATTTTGGTGCAATAATCTTTATTGTAATACCATGAAGACATTGTATTGCAACAGTTAAGCTTTACATCTACAAGAATAGTATCACTGAATTGCAGCTGTCACAGTCATACGAATTGGTGTTTAAAATGCATAGTTTGTGTGATTCATCAATTCAGATGGAAGGATTTGTTGAAAGATTGAGATTGCATATGTTGGGACTCATCAAAAGTATTGAACCCTTTCTACATTTTCATTTCAATCCCTCATTGGCCAACAGAGTTTGGAGGTGATGGTGAAGTGGTCGTTGCACTGGAACAGTAATTTAGGTCTCTAGGCTGATGCTTCAGGGACATGAGTTTGAATGATGATATGGTGAAAATTGACTTCAATGAAATTTGGACTTTAAGCTGGACTATCATGACCAAGTAACCATTGTCTATTATCATAAAATGCTAAAATCCTTGATTTAGCAGTTCAAGACTGGGCATCCATGAGGCACTCCGGGCCATCAACAGCAGCAGAATTGTACACCAGCATAATCTGCAACCTCCCGGACCCATGTAACCCTGACTCCACCATTACCATCAAGCCAGGGGATTAAACCTGATGTAATGAAAAGTGTAGGAGGGCATGCCAGGAGCAGTACCAGACATAAATTAAAAATGAGGTGACAACCTGTTGAAGCTACTAAACAGGACAAGCATGCCAAAAGGCAAAAGTAGCAAGTGAAAGCTGAGCGATTTCTACAACCGATGGATCAGATCTAAGTTCTGCAGTACTGCCACATCTAGTCATTAATGTTCAAGGAGAAAGCTCCACAAATATCCCCATGCTCAGTGATGAAAGAGCCCAACACATCAGGGCAAAAGATCAGACTGAAGCAGTCACAGCAACGTTCAGCCAGAGGTGCCAACTGGATGATCCACCTCCGCTGCCTCCAGTCCTCACCAGCATGACACACATCAGACTTCAGCCAATTTGATTCACTCCATATGTAACGATACTATGGTTTCAAGAGCTGTATTTTGACCTTTTTTAATGGAGAAAGATTGAGATTAGAGGTAACGATTGGTCTGCTTCAAAGCCCCTAAAGAAACAACTTGAGAGGCCTTGGGGTTTGTTGGTTTTTGAAAGTCTGAATGGGTGGGGTCAAGCTCCCCACAGAACCTGGATTTCTAGTTTTAGTTCTTCAGTAGTAGTTGTTGGGTCTTGATGCTGTGTTTGGAAGCTGCAGTGCATTTCTCCCTGCCACTGTCTGTCTGAGTTTTTCCTCCTGGACTGGATAATTGCCTGTGAGACAATCTATTTTACTGAATTTTGCCTTTTGCCAAGGGTGTGTTTGTGGGATATTCCTATATTTTATTCAGAACATTGGCTTGGCCAACCAGCTCAGAGTCAGTCCTCAACTGAGATTCTAATCATGCATATGTTGAGACTCATCAAAAGTATTGCACCCTTTCTACATTTTCATTTCATGGTTATGTTTTTTTTCTATTTCCTGGGTTTTTTTTTTTTCCTTTTTTTTGCTTATTTTACCCAGCACCTGTGTGTGTGTGTGTGTGTAGGTGCAAGACACATTGCAAAACACCAGCTGTGTAAATAACTTTATTAATATTCCACCACCAAGGAAAACACCCATGTGACCAAAGAACCAGTAACAAGCAGAGCCCTGTAGGGGCAATGCCTATGCAAGTGAAAAAGTGAAGGGGAGGGTAGGGATCAAATCAAAGTATAGTTGGAGGGAGAAATAAAGCACTTCATTCCTTGCAGTGCCCACCCCTCCCTGTAGAGGTGCGGATTCCTGAGCAACGGCTCTCTAACAATAGCTGCTACTCCTGATGGAGGCTCGGTGCAAGTTGACAATGTCCCAGACAGTGATCAGGTATTGTTAAAAGACAGGCAGAGGCCTGGGGGTGATCTGCAAACCGTCACGGTCGATGAACAGGAGCATAGTGTCATAGTTGAGGTTACACACCTTGTGGGAAAAAATATGTTGCCAGGACAGCGATGTTACTATGTTTGAACAGTTAATAGTAGAAGTTCATGTATCTATTTACTTTGATAAGCATTTCAACAGAGTTGTAGTTAAACCAATCCTTTTATTTCTGTTGTCTGCATTTTAACTATAGTGTAAAAATAGTGTGTTTTGCTTAACGAGTAGTTTGACCAATTGAATTGCATCTGGAACACAATACCTTGCACTTACCTTTAAAATAAGAAAAAGGTAGGGTCTAGATTATCTTAATATATTTTGAGGGGATTTGGTCTGACCCATATCAAGAAACTGTTGGAGGTCCTGTTTACTGCAAAAGTTATGGGCCCTGACAGCATTCTGGCAATAGTACTGAAGAGTTGTGCTCCAGAACTTAAGTGCTCCTCTACCTAAGCTCTTCCTGTACAATTACAACTCTGGCATCTACCCAACAATGTGGATAATTGCCCAGGTACATCCTGTATACAAAAAGCAGGACAAATCCAACCCATTCAAACACTTCCCCATTGGTCTACTCGTTCATCAGTTAAGTGATGGAAGGTGTTATTAACAGTGTTATCATACAACAATAACATGCTCAATGATATCCAGTTTGGGTTCTGCCAGGGCCATTCAGCTCCTGACCTCACTACAGCCTTGGGCTGAATATGGACAAAAAGTCTGAATTCCAGAGATAAGATGAATGACGGTGTCTGATATCGAATGCCACATTCAACTAAGTGAGGTAACAAGGAACCCTAGTAAAATTGGAATCTGGTATCAGAGGGCAAACTTGGCTCGTTGGAGTCATAACTGGCGAATAGGAAGTGGTTGCTGGAGGTCAGTTATCTCAGCTCTAGGACATCTCTGCAGGAGTTCCTCAGGGTAGTGTCCTAGGCCCAACCAGCTTCTGCTGTTTC